GTATTAATTAATATTGAAAATGCAAACATATACTTAAATGTGACCTGGCAGCAAGTGCGAAGAAGAGACTGGTGCAAATTGTGTTGTGACAGGCCATTTTCACTGTTTTCACTCAAATCAGTGTAGCATACATACTGTTCAGTGAGAAAAGCATTTAGCCGGACATTTGCTCTTTATGTCTCGGACAGTGTCTGTGTTCGGCCTCTTATTTTCAGGCTTTGTGTACATTTTTGTTAACCCTTTAAGCAGCAATGTGCCCTGTTGCACCCTACTATATTATTTTAATCTGTATAACACCAGGCGATTTTACTTGTCAAGGGGAGAGGGTTGCCACTCAATGGGTTACGTGGCAATTTCAAATACAATGTAAACAATATTGTTGGTCTGTGGGAGTGCTCTTGATGATGAGTAAAATGGTCTGGCATTAGCCAAAGTATAATTATAATAAATTTGCTCGGTGCAATTCAACTTGATGGGTTAACTAGACACATGGGCAGATTTAACCCATTGAGTGCCAATTGTCTGGTGTTAGACAGAGTAAAATAATAAAGTAGGGTGCATTAAGCTGCAATACACGCTTCCGAAAAGTACATCACCTTGGCTATAGAGCCTCGTTTTCGTGATTAAGACATGGCCTTTAACTGCTGTCAGATACATGAAAACGAGGCTCTATAGCCAAAGTGACGTATTTCCGAAAGGGTGTTTTAAACTTAATCGGTTAATTTAATGGCATGTTGGAGTGACTATTTTGCATAGGATTGCATCCATATACCATACTTTGTTATTATTTTACTCCATGACAATTTTAATTGTCAATAGAAAAGTGCCAGCTATCTGCCCAATTGTGTCCTGTTTACCCTTTAAACGACATTGACATTCGCCCTACTTTGTTATTCTACTCTGCCTAAAACAAAGGTCGAATCGAGGTTCGAGGAAACTTCATTAATAAAAAATGCTGGTCCCGAGAAGATTTAACCATCTATATACTTTCTAAAAATATTTAGCGCTGACGTTGCTTTGCAAAGGAAAATACTGTTATCATTTTTACTAAATGAATGTACTGTACACATTGCTTATAGCACACTGTTAACTTGAACTGTGATCTATTTTGTACATAGCTGTTGGACAATTTTACTTCTCAAGAAAAAACCCACTCGGTGTCAAGCCACTGTGCATGCAAAGCCCATTATATAATAAGTATATAATAAATATAAAATAATTATATAAATACAATGAAACACGCAATTTGATTGGTCAACAGCCGTGCAGTATCAGACAATCCTGCACGGGAAATTCTGAACAGAAATTCTTGCACATAATTTTACAAATATACTCGCATTGTAAAGTTTCATTGCACGATACCTTTCGACTTTGAAGTAAGTTTGCAATTATTGAGACGTTGGTTTAGTTGTATGAATAAATTTCTGATCGATAAAACGCGTAGCGTTGAAATTCATCAGACCATGGCATGCAAGTACAACATCTCTCGCTTCAAAGTTGATCAAACGCTTCGCAATCTTCACGTATTCAGGTCGAGAATCTTCAAAACTACTTTGGCTCTCTGATTAGCGGGTTTTCCATTTCAAATTTCGTATATTTTATCGAAAAAGTCCCGGTATTTTCGCTGTATATTTTTGCGAATATAATTTGCGATCAAATTCTGTTCACATTTGTTGTTGTTTTCAATAGCGTGGAGTAGCGATTCTGCGATTGGTTAATTCACGATTGTTGTGAGAACTGCACATTTCATCAGTAATTTTAATCAAGTTAACCGTCGTTTCACTGTAGTAATTTTATAACACAATTACCAAATGGTTTTCCCGTGCAGGATAGCATGATCCATGCACTTGGGATGTTGCTCGACTTTCGGAAAGCGTAAAAATACTCTCGCCTACGGCTCGTGTATTTTTACGCTTTCCGAAAGTCTCCCAACATCCCGCGTGCATGGATCACGCAATCCTGCACGGAAAACCATTCGGTATTCCTTTAATAATATATTTTGGTCAAATACCAACGCAAGTCGTTTTACTATCAGGAGGAACATTATGCTCCTTAACCTATTGTATTGCTTTGCGGCCCAATGCTGTCTACAGTGCTTTATTATTTTTATATATTACATCAGATGATCGTTCTCGTCTATGAGAGAGTACTGGTGCTCAATGGGCTAAGCCCAAGATTAAGAATATCCCCGTAAATCAGGGCTCGAAATAGCGGACTGCCAATGGCAAAAAGCAGGTGATATTTTAGAAATGGCAGGCAAAAACAAATTTTAACTGCCAAAGTAAAAAAAAAATGGCAGGTGAAATTCTATAGATATAATTCATTAAAGCAATACCGAATGATTTTCCGTGCAGGATTGCGTAATCCATGCACACGGGATGTGGCAAGACTTTCGGACAGCGTAAAAATACACGAGCCGTAGCGAGTGTATTTTTACGCTTTCCGAAAGTCGAGCAACATCCCAAGTGCATGGATCATGCTATCCTGCACTGGAAAACCCATTTGGTAATTGTTTTATATAATTACTACAGTGAAACGACGGTTAACTTTGAAATTACTGATGAAATGTGCAGTTCTCACAACAATCGTGAATTAACCAATCGGAGAATCGCTACTCCACGCTACTGAAAACAACAACAAATGTGAACAGAATTTGATCGCAAATTATATTCGCAAAAATATACAGCGAAAATACCGGAACTTTTTCGATAAAATATACGAAATTTGAAATGGAAAACCCGCTAAACAGAGAGCCAAAGTAGTTTTGAAGATTCTCGACCTGAATACGTGAAGATTGCGAAGCGTTTGATAAACTTTGAAGCGAGAAATGTTGTACTTGCATGCCATGGTCTGATGAATTTCAACGCTACGCGTTGTATCGATCAGAAATTTATTCATACAACTAAACCAACGTCTCAATAATTGCAAACTTACTTCAAAGTCGAAAGGTATCGTGCAATGAAACTTTACAATGCGAGTATATTTGTAAAATTATGTGCAAGAATTTCTGTTCAGAATTTCCCGTGCAGGATTGTCTGATCCTGCACGGCTGTTGACCAATCAAATTGCGTGTTTCACTGTAGTTAATATATAATTCATTTTCTTTCCACGACTCATATAGACTAGATCATTTAGTTGACTAAATACACAAATAAAAAAACCCATCGTGAATTAACCAATCGGAGAATCGCTACTCCACGCTATTGAAAACAACAACAAATGTGAACAGAATTTGATCGCAAATTATATTCGCAAAAATATACAGCGAAAATACCGGGACTTTTTCGATAAAATATACGAAATTTGAAATGGAAAACCCGCTAATCAGAGAGCCAAAGTAGTTTTCAAGATTCTCGACCTGAATACGTGAAGATTGCGAAGCGTTTGATAAACTTTGAAGCGAGAAATGTTGTACTTGCACGCCATAGTCTGATGAATTTCAACGCTACGCGTTGTATCGATCAGAAATTTATTCATACAACTAAACCAACGTCTCAATAATTGCAAACTTACTTCAAAGTCGAAAGGTATCGTGCAATGAAACTTTACAATGCGAGTATATTTGTAAAATTATGTGCAAGAATTTCTGTTCAGAATTTCCCGTGCAGGATTGTCTGATCCTGCACGGCTGTTGACCAATCAAATTGCGTGTTTCACTGTAGTTAATATATAATTCATTTTCTTTCCACGACTCATATAGACTAGATCATTTAGTTGACTAAATACACAAATAAAAAAACCCAATAAAAATGCATATTATGAAAACATTGAATCTCATTGATTTTTACAATGTGACTCATGTGAGACATTAGCCTGCTCACAGACGTTGTTATTCTTACGCCAAGCGACGAATTACTACCGTCTGCTTACCCGAGCGCCAAACTGAATTCCGCTACGTCGACCAATCAGAATTTACCTTCCAAATTCTGGAAAGTGACGTCAGTTGATTTAGGAGCGGAATAAATATAAATATATATAAATATATATTTTGAAAGCAGTCGTCGGTTGAATTTTGCTCAAAATTGCACATAAATTGAATTTAAAGATACTGATACTTGTCCAGGTAATAAAATGCACCATTAATGATTATATTTGGATATTAAAGATGTTCGGTTATATTTAAACGCGGACAGGATTGGCATATTTAATATACTGTATGAAGCCAGACAGGCGAGACAGCATCAAATGCCGAATATATTTCGCTGAAATTTGAACTTTTGACGGATGTTTATCTTTATAAGACAACAGAGCTCGGAAGACAGAAAATTTGATATAATACTGTGGCTTAGAAAGCGAAATATTAGCTTCAAAGTAAACTAATTTGCTGTTTGGGCAACCTCTTCTGAATGTAAACTGTAAAGTTAACACAAGACAAACCCGAGAAACTTGTATTAAAATTGCGTCGTGATGAATTTTCCAATTCGCCCAAACTTTGAAACGTTTATACTCTAACTTGGCTATACTTTTGTACATGACAATGAGAGCTTAATCTTTTATAAGTTTAATAATAACTAGGTGTATTAGTTATGTAACGTTGTCAAGTTGGTAACAACGATGTAAACAACTTCGATAACTTGGGGGAAGATAATATGCACAGGTTTACAAAATATGATTTTTTCTCTGTTGGTGTTGTGTACTCAGGTGAATAAGATGCTTGTGATGTTACTCTGAGTGTATATCCACACCGGACGAGTTTGAAAAATATACCCGGCCACGGTGGGAATCGAACCTACGACCTTTGGAATACTAGCTCAGTTGGAATACTAGCTCAGTTGGCAGAGAATTGGGCTAGTATTCCAAAGGTCGTAGGTTCGATTCCCACTGTGGCCGGGCATATTTTTCAAGCTCGTCCGGTGTGGATATACACTCAGAGTAACATCACAAACATCATATTCACCTGAGTACACAACACCAACACAGAAAAAAATCATATTACTAGATTACACTGGTATCGAAGGAACTAGATTCTGTTCCGAAATATCACTTACTCGAACCGTCCTGACCGCGTGGTAGCTCAGTTGGCAGATCATTGGGCTAGTATTCCAAAGGTCGTAGGTTCGATTCCCACCGTGGCCGGGCATATTTTTCAAGCTCGTCCGGTGTGGATATAAACTCAGAGTAACATCACAAACATTTTACAAAATATGTTTCCATTCTTATCTGTGTAGATGAGAGACGACCTGTCATGGATGGCAGTGCATTGGTGAGTCGCCAAATTTACCATGCTGTTGGCAGTGACAAGAAAAGATGTTTGCCAAAAACCCATGTAATGGAAACTACCCCTTCATCATCATCGGGTGCCATTTCCTTAATGACACTCATATTCCAAGACAAAGATAGCAAACGTCTCGCTAAATGCCTGAGGGATTCTGTGGACGTTTTTGTCGTGTTTTTGAGACGTCACAAGTCTTGCCCATTCAAGGTGCTTTTGGATAAGTACTGCCCTGTTGATGGCAAGTATGAAGATACTGGCAGTGTTAAAAACGTTCCATACTTTCAGGTAATTTTTGCAAATTTAATTGTGTTAGTATGCTGTGCAAGAATGGTTTTTGATGAATCCATTAGAGAAGTTAATTCGTATGGCACAATGGATGATTCCAGGTAGCGACTAATTTTTTTATCTAGACAAGAAAGACGAAATCTATCATTGTAGCTCAAAAGAGAATTCTAAAATTTGTAAAATTGCAAAGTTTGGTTGCGAAATGTTGTAAATTACGAAAAATATAGCCATGTGAAATTAGCAAATTTTGAGTATTTTAGTATTACGCGCGGAAAAATGCACCACTTTTGGCTCAAAAGTGGCGATCTCTACTCCTCTAAGCCGCTCAATTATTCAACAATATTTTCTTTGCGTTTCCTCGACGAAAACCCACATGAAAATGCTCGTCTGAAAACCTCGGTTATTGTCGTATTTTACGAATCTGCCACGTGATTTATGATCACCGATACGCTCACGATGACACGAAATTTAGAGGTACATGAAAGTTGCATGCCATATATGGCATGGAACAAAAAATGGATAGCATAATTGTGACGTATATCAACATAATTTTGCATTTCTATAGGTAAAATCTTTGTGCTTGGCGATATGTAAACGTGTTATACCATTGAAGATCTGGGGATCACAGGTGAACAGGACGGCTTTTATTTCAAATATGGAGCGGTACTTGTCGTTGCGAAAGAAAGGCAATATGAGCGTCAAGAACGTAATGCAGGGCATTCGAATCAGCGACTGTGATTTTGTAAAGCTCCCAAAACGTGCACATGACTGCCGTGCTAGTCAATCCGAGTCGAACAAGAGACAAGGGCTGGTTACAAAATTTTTTGTCTGGCTGATGAACTCGTACATCGCGCCGTTGTTGAGAAATGCTTTTACCATCACGGAATCTATTCCTGGCAGAAATCGTGTGTTCTTCTACCGGAAGGAGATGTGGGCAGATGCGCAAGCCGCCGCGGTTCAGGATATGCATTCATTAACTCCATTACTCGAGGAAGACGCTGGTACAGTGGAAAGTCTTGGACTTGCACCAATGCGGCTAATTCCTAAAACCTGGTAAGAATAAAATTATTCAAAATAATAACGTTTTCGTATAACTGCTGATTCGCACATGCGTGTCCTAACCATTTACCAACTGTTCATGGAGGCATGCTGGGTAAATTGTTTAAAGTTTTATATACAGTATTATCCATCTCATTTCTACTTAGGCTGTATACTTTTGTCGAAGAATGGTTACCAGTGATAGAACGTTTTGGATTTGCTCATTCATCTGTTTTAACTAGAGCGTAGATTCTAGGGCTATTTATGCTACTGAAAGTAAGCCGCGGCTGGTATGTGTGGCTAAATAAGTCGCGAAAGACTGGTATAGAGAGTGCTGTGCTTAGTGGTTATATTACTACCTGAGAAAAACAAGCAGAAACTCGACCTTTCGAGCGAAGGCCCTTCGTCAAGAGTTAGTTGCGACTAGTTGGCTCGAAACGTCGAGTTTCTGCTTGTTTTTCAGGTTGTTTTATAATTTATTACCACTCAGCACAGCATTTTTGCATTGGTACTACCGACACTGGTACATACAGTTTTGGTATAGAGAGTGAAATTGCAGCAAGCCGTGGTTAATTTAGGTCTAGCTTTCAACCGGTTGTGCTTATTTTAGTCGCGGCCTGCCAACAAATCGAGTCCGTCGAATCGTTGGCGATTTACATTATCCCGGGTTAATTTTATGATTTTTGACCAGCTAACCATATTGCGTTATTGTGCTTGTTTGATAAAGTTTGCTCCTCCCTAACACACACTGTATTTAGTTAATCTTTTATCATTGGACAGTCCGCAGGAGTGATTTTATTTGCGACAATTATATATAATCACATATTAGTCACGGGCTGGTTGTACAAAAACGTAGTTAAAGTTAATTGTTGTCAGCGTTAACTAGTGAAGTTCAATCCTTAACTGTTATTAGTTAATGATAATGACTTGATTCGTTTTGGCTATCATCAACCTTTTACGGGGAATTATAATTAAGATGGTGATTGAAAATCACGTATACAATTCATTATTGTCTTACTGAAAAATATTGATCAGATTAACAGTACATGCTAGGGTATTAAAAGAGGGCGTCCAATTTTGACATAACGATACATCTACAGTAAAAAAAGGGGGGGGGGGGTCGAGAAAACGTTCCTGTGGAAAACCTTTGAAGTTTATGTTACTTCATGTTAGTATCTTTCCAACCTCGTATGAAATTTTTCAAACACATTGGCTTTGTGAGTTTGTGCCACTATTGCTTCTTTACTTAACTAACACATTTTCATTCAGCCAGGTACACCATCAAATTGATCAAAATGTCAAATGTATAATAATAATGAGAATTCAAGCTATTTCGTTTCGGATATATTAATATACTTAGGGAATCATTGAAAATAATTTCCCTTTTCCCCCAGAATTTGGGCGTTCAAAGGCGTCCACTTTTTGTTCTAGGGGCGTCCCAGGACGCCTGGAAGCCCTTCTGGCTAAAAGCCTGCCTAGCATCGTTAACGTTAAAATTTAACAACGTTTTCACTGCAGTTTACGCTAACTATACATTTTTGAAAGCCACCTAGATACATACATGGGTAAAGTTAACCACTATTTGACTACAAAATGGATAGTTTTATACAACCGGCCGCAGAACATCACAAGATTATTAATATCTTGTACAAAATAGGAATGCAACAAGATTATCTGTCCACTGCCCATATGCATGTTTAATCTGTGTTTTTGAATTTGCATGATCGCGAACTATTTCGAGACTTGAGTCATTAAATAACTTATCTCAAAGGATGACTTTTGTACCTTAATTGAATGTAAAATTTTCAATGAATATTTACAGTGTCATTTTAATTTTCAATAGCGGACTACGTCCAATTGTCAACTTGGGTGCCAAGATCAACCCTTCTGACAGCTTTCCTTACCAGCCACGGTCGGTAAACCAGTTGTTGAGCAACATCGAAAGCGTCCTGGGGTACGAACGCCAGCGGTCTCCAGACTTACTGGGAGCAGCCGTCATGGATTACGGGGAGATCTTTCACAAAATATCATCGTTCAAAGGCATGCACAAAGGGGATGGAAGATGCTTGCACTTTGTACGGTTGGATTTCACCAAGTGCTACGAACGTATAAACCAAGATAAAATGCTTGAAATTCTTGAGCAGGTACAGTGATTACATTTTATGCACCAGTCAATACAACTCCCTGCTCCCCCCAACCGGGGAGGGGCGGGGGCATTTAGCGGGGAAAGTGGTCAGTTTGATTGTAAATGTGTCCCCCCTATCATGGGAGACTTCAACGACATTTTCTCTTTCGGTAGGCGATGCGGGGACGAAAGCGGGGGAGGGGGGGGGGTGGATTTACTGGTTAACATATATGCCTGTGTTGCTGTTTTAGTTTTCTTTACAAGAAAAGCTTAAATACAATAACATAAATGAATATGAGTTTCTGTTCCTATGAAATATATAATACTATTTTCCTGGGGTTCAGAGACATGTGTGGACATTGATTAATTGCCCTTTCCCTGGAGGTGAGGACAATTTCACTCTTTTAATATCCCTCTAAGTCCGTGCCCTTCCCTGGTTGGGAGAGGGGGGATTTACATTGACTGGTACATTACGTTAACCAGTTTTAGGATTTTAGTTTGCACAGTAGGAGAACCCCGCATTGAGACTTGAATAGTCAAGATAATTCTGTCAAAAGAATCAACTTTTAATAATCTACTGACAGAAAATTTTTTGCCTTATAGAGTAATATTTTGCTAATTTAATAAATTGATCACTTTAGAAAAATATATATTCAAAAGCAAGTTGTTTGTCACGCAAGCATAGATATTTGTATTGACTGCTGTTGCTTGACGAGATTAAGGTGCTCTTCCCAGGACCGTAGCTAGTATGTATAGTTGGGGGGAGGGAGGGGGGGAGGGGAGGGGGGTTGTGTTGGCCAAAAATTTCCAAATGACGAAAAAAATCCGAATATTTCATGGCATACGAAGCCACGAAGGTGTTTGCTATCCGGAAAATGAAGTCGCAATTTACAAACAAAAATACGCATATTTTACGCACAGGCATATTACAGAACAATGCAGTGCCGTAGGAAGCTCGATTTCATTGTGGGTCTGAAAGCGGGGGCCGAAGGCCGGAGGAAATGTTTTAATTTAGAGTCTCTGAAATGCCATTTCCTGGACTTTGGGGAAACTTTGACAGAATTGTGTTGGTCAGAAAATAGCGTTTTAGTTTGTAGAAATTTGTAATTCGCTAACAATTTAGTAGCCCTAAATGGGCGAAGGCGTATTTAATTAACTATATATTGGAGAAGTTGCGGGAAAGTACGGGTAATATGATTCTTTGCAGTTTGTCATGGATAATGTAACCGCTTAAAATGTATCAATGATCAGTATTTTAAAGGTATATTATTTGATTTATTTCAATGATAAAGGTCTGCATGATTTTGAAAAAAGAATGATTATTAGTAATTGCTACGGCCCTGAGAAGTAATAAACCGAAAAACACTTCCCGATTTACCATTTGTTAATTGTTATCCATGTAAATACAATTATATTATATTTTCTCTGTTTAACAACTAAAATTTTGTTATACTATTATTGCCGTAATTTTCCGAATGGCCAACCTGATTTTCCGAATATGTTAATTTTACGCACATATGTTAATTTTCCGAATATGTTAAATTTACGCACAAATTTACTCTAAACTGACAAATCGGGCAAATTGTACCCATTCTTATGGTAAAACGATGGTTCTATCTGAAGCAAATAAGATACATATGCGATTGGGTTATTCTATTGTTCCATTTTTAGTGTGAAGTTTCACTTCACACTATTGTGATGGCTGGCAAATTCACACGAATCAGTCAATCAGTCACAGAGTAAACTTTCCGGGGGGTGTATACGATTTATTTTCGTAGTGATTTATTGTACTTAGTCGGTACTTTGAAGGTTATTTAGGCAATTTCAGTTAACTTATTTACATATTCTGTTATCCTTTTGCCAAGTTCACAAAAATTTCGAGGAATGGCTTTCGTTATTGTATTTTTTTGTAAATTTTAGAACATTCGCTTCTCATGTTGTGTAAAGGATCTTTACCCCGGAACACCCGATTTTTTCTTTAGTAGCGCAAATGCGCATGCGCTATCAAGCCGTAGATCACGATGGCGTGACGATATGCTAGGAAGGAGTGACAGTGTTGTTTTCAGATGTATAAACATTCCAGACGTGAATATTGAGTAATCTTTGGAAATCTACGCAAAATACAAATTGATCTTATGCATTACGGGCGTTCAATTAAGTGCCGATAATATTTAGACGGTATATTCATTATACAGAGCTAGGAAGGAGCTAGACCGCCTAGACAGTGCAGTCAAGTGTATAAACATTTCAGACGTAAATATTGAGTCGAAAAACTTTGAGATTCTAGGCATTCAATTGAGTGCCGATATTATTTTCACGGCATACTCATTATACAGAGGTACGGTAGGTAGGCAGAAGCAAGACAGTGTTGTTTTCAAGTATATAAACATTCCAGACACGAATATTGAGAAAATCTTTGAGATTCTACGCAATAATACAGTATATAAATTTAAGTTATGCATTACTATCAGATCAATAAAGCATAAACAACAATTAAATAGAAGCGGGTAAACGTTTGTACGGCGTTTAGTAGTTTACGAAGAAAATAACTTGCGAGATTAAAGAAATCAGTTGAGTCAGAGCTCCTTATTTAAATAAGAAAGACGAAGAGATAGGCAATGGCAATGTGTTATCGCCAACGTGTTATCGCCAACGTGTTATCGCCAACGTGTTATCGCCAACGTGTTATCGCCAACGTGTTATCGCCAATCGCTTGGCTCGCCAACAAGCTTTATGCAATATAATAGAAGAAAAAAAAGCAAGGAGGTACATGTAGCCAACGTGTCCCGTCACGGACCTTGTCTTTGTTTACTGTGTAGCACAACGCCGTTGTCAACGGTGCAAACTCGTGTTCAGTGCAACGATAACTCTACCAGATCTTACGAGAATCAATCTGTAGTATTCTGTACACAGAACTGTATCAAAGCTTGTCAAAACTGCTTTAATTAAACACTGCTTAACTGTGAAACTATCGAAATCTAAAGTGACATTATTCAACACATGCGAAAAGCTGAAAATAGACACAACGTGACACTGGGAAAAGTCAAAGGTCAATGAGACTTGTTATTGTGAAACATGTCATAATTAGGTTTTAAAAAATGCGGAAGCGGATGGAGCGGATCCACGGAACGGATATGCGGGTAAAATACGGAACGGATGAGGATAAAATGCGTCCTTTTAATGATGTAACGACGTAGTGCTTATTATTCATAACATATCTTATACAGCTATTTCAATTATAATTTTAGATACATTTAGCATAGCAGTAGCCTCGTGGGGATGCTTTTAGCGACAGCTGCAAATGCAAATGAAAATTTAGAATATGCAAAATTTGGTTGTTGGTGAAACAATTTAAATTTCGAATTGTCGCGTGTAGCATCACAATCAGTAGATAAATTGCATCAGTTTCACTAGGCACGTTTCTGGTGTGTTAGGCTTGTTTTAAACGTCACGCTACTTGTGTGCAAGCGTATTATAAAAGCAATAAATAATGAGATGAAATGCCTTTGGTAACTGTATATTTCGTAGTGTAAGGCATCAGCTTTTCTAGGTTGTCGGCGACCCTACATAGTTCTTGCAGTGTCTTTTTCAATTTGAAACTTCACACCATCCTTGGATCCCTAGTTTAATTATATTGTTCTATGTAAGTTATTCTAATATATAAAAAACTTTAAAATCGCTTTTTTTTAAACAGACGTTTATTTAATTATTTATGAGTTGATTTATCAGTAACGGAGCATTATACATTACCAGAAAGCCTTATGGATGCCTTCGAGGCCTTTTTTATTTATTTTTATTTAGCTTTAATTGCCAACTAGGGCAGGGTCACCACAACAGCATAGGGCAATTACTGTTGGGTCCTTTTTCCTAACCCACCCTGTCAACTTTCCCTGTGGGAGGAAACCGGAGTACCCGGAGAAAACAGAGTGTTGGCAGAGTGTTGACTTTTTACTCTTTTCACCTGAGGACTGGGTCCGAGTTGCACTGAGAAGGCCTTATTCCATTAGCTGTGTATTTTTTAGATTCAAGACATAGATTGATGTTTTATATGTCATTACATTTTTTGTTTGCAAATCCTTAGTGATTAAGTTTGACTCAGATCCTTTTTGGAGCAAACCCTATGTTTACCCTATAGGGAGGCCTATGGTAGTTACTATGACAATGCCAAATGTAAAAGTTACTGATCCTGTGTCAATATCATATTTAACTCAAATGTGATGACAAAAGAGCACAGTTAATGTTTATCACTTACTATTGTTCTAGGTTATTAAGGAAGACGAGTATACCATCCGGAAGTATTGCACTGTGAAAACGATATTCAATGACAACCTTGTGTTCAAACACCGACAACCTGCAGCTCCCGCTGAGGATAATCGATACTTCCCAGCTTTTGTGGAGGATGTAACGCGCAAGAGGAAGTTGAACAATTCATTGATCGTGGATAAGATGAACTATGGCTCTATCTGTCGCGATGAGTTGATGAGGGATTTGGTGAAGCACATCAAGGGCAATATTGTTCAACTATCTTCTCAAAAATACTTGCAGAGTTGTGGTAAGTCTCTTTTAATGTTGTGGATTATCCGATCATGTTGGACGTTGGATTCCACCCCACTGGGGCTGTTAATTTGATACAATATTGCGCATGCGTGTATATGAGCCCAAGGTGGCAAAATACTAAGTACAGTAGAATCGAGACCTGATATTTCCCCTTTTTGAGAGTGAATCCAAATACGAGTTTCGTTACCTGGAACCAATGAACTCAATTTATTTACTTTACCTGGAACGATAAATGAATACCAAAAACATGGAAAAATGTATAGATACAGTTGGCCTGTGTTTGTTTAAAGGTGGATCTGAACTACCGAGGATATGCTTTTAAAGAGGCTACCTATAGTTTCGTCTGAGGCTCATTTAGCCAAATTGTCTGCGTCTTGCGCGTCGAATACGTATGGTCTTTTTACACAAACTCCAAAAGTATTTTTAATCACTTTTAGTGTTTATCTTGGAAAGAAAGATGCCAGTTTTTAAAAAAAAATTATGTCATTTAAAAAATCTTATGTAATTTAAAAAAGTGCGTGTCTGTTGTTAAGCAGTTTTTAAGCTTTCGTTTTGTATGTTTCTCATCTATTCACGTTTAGCATTTGCCTTTTAAGTGATTAAAAATCTTCGTACAAACGTATGAAATGGCGGTTTTGCTACAAGATGGAAACTTGTACACTTGTTTTAAAGTGGCACTATCATTAAAATTTTTTTTCATAATCCAGAAATATAACGTATACTTGATATTCTTACCAAATTTCAAGGCAAAATTCGTTCATCTTCCTGACTTTTTTACGATTCTTATTTGCCAATTTTACGGCCGCCACTAAACGCGCCCTATTAAGCGAGAAGGCGTTTTGAAGAGGATGTGACGTCATTCACTCAACACGCCGAATGTTTTTATTGTATTTCACTACTACTTCAACAATGTCTTCGTAAAAATTCATACTAAGGAGAGTCAGAAACTTCAGAAAGTGAACATTCGCATTGGAGCAAAGCGAGCTGTGATGAGGAAACGTACGGTGACTCACATTCAAGTGAAAATAGTGATGAAAAGAAGAAATCAAACCTAGAATTGTTATTTGTTATTTGTTAACAATAAATGGCTATCTTGTTTGTTGTTGAAAACATGACCTTTGGCAGGCTTTCGGTCATAATAATCCTTGTTTTTACAAACTTACTTTTGCAGTTGAAAAGGATAATTTTCATCACTCGTTCAAAGTTTGCCTTTAGCATCACTTTATACTTCTTTAATATACATCAGAGCAACTTGATAGTTTCTCACGTACACAAAACATAAGCAGCGATGGAAGGAAAACCTTTAGCGAACTGCGTATGATATAAATAAACCTTTCGGTCAATCAAAATACGAACAAAAATACAAACAAATGCCTTGTAATTTATAGCTATAAATAATATTTCAATGCATGTGCATGTCTGTCTAATAACTGTCTATCGGTCTATTTCTGTATGTTTAACGACTGTAAATTAAACTGACATGCACTCGGGGAATTTTATAGTGCAAGTAAATATCCTACGACTCTATGCGCGTTTTCGCTTGCCGTAAGATTCATTGTAGGCCGGCTAGTATTGTATAGCAAACTATATAAGTATAAAAAGGTCACGCGCGACGGGGATAAATACAATAGTTGATTTTACAACTTGCATGCATTTGAAAAGTAGATGTGTAATTTTCAACTTGCGCCCATTGCCATTGGCATTGAGTATATTAAAGGTTTATATTACTATAAAAGTATGGAAAACAAATATTGAACTGATTTGAAGCATTATTAATTTAGCATATTAATTCTGTGATTCGGTGCCGAGATATTATTCGTTCTATTTATACAAATTATCCGATTCAAATGCAAGTTGTAAAATCTGAAATCAACTTATTCAGTTATTGTTATATGCAATATCTTTCGCATAATATCAATACCTCGATATATACCGCGTTTATACGTGTCCCAGGGCAAGCGAAAACGCAGATAGAGTCATAGGATATTTACTTATACTAAATCTCCAAGTACACTAAATTCCCTGACTGTCAGTTTAATTTACAGTCGTTAAAAATACTGAAATAGACCAATAGACACAATCGTTGAAATCATGTGTTTATAACTATATAACTTACATTTATTGTCAACATATATTAACAATTCTAGGTTTGATTTCTTCTCTTCATCACTATTATCACTTGAATGTGAGTCACCGTACGTTTCTTCATCACAGCTCGTTTTGCTCCCTTGCGAATGTTCACTTTCTGACGTTTGTGACTCTCCTATGAATTTGTACGAAGACATTTTTGAAATAGTAGTGAAATACAATAAAAACATTCGGCGTGTTGAGTGAATGACGTCACATCTTCTTCTAAACGCCTTCTCGCTTAATTGAGCGAGTTTAATGGCGGCCGTAAAATTGGCAAATAGGAATCGTAAAAAAGTCAGGAAGATGAAGGTGTCACAAGAGAATCTTCAGTAATTGTAATATTAAGGTTGCCTTAAAACCCTATTTGACTTTAGGCCATATTTTCGCAAAGCCAAAAGATCCTGTTAAAACAAATCACAAAACTCGTGCTGTATATTCTATACCATGCGGTGACTGCGAGAAAGAGTATTTGGGTCAGTCTAAACGCCAGTTTGGTACATGGCTAAAAGAACATCAAAAGGCTGTTTCAACTTTTGACAAGGGAAAATCAGCTTTAGCCGAACATGTATGTTAGACCAAACACGAGATTGCGTGGGAAAACTCTAAAGTAATTAGTAATTACCACAAACAATCGCTATGGTCAAAGACTTTGCCTAGAAGCGTGGCATATAAATATGAGTAATCATGCTTTGAATAGGGATGACGGTGCCTATTTGCCAGAGGAATATATGCATCTCGTTGGCAGGTGACGTCATTCCTTGGGTATTTAAGAAGTCACAATTGCAATTTTAGATCACCCCTGACGAAGACACTAGACTGGAGTGTCGAATCGTTGGGTCTTGATTACAATTCGACTGGGCTTTGTAATCATTTATTTAAACCAGAGTAGCGAGCGAAACATGATTGATATACCTGGTTGCAGTGAACGAACAAACTTTAAAACAATAAAATATTCCTAAATGAATGTCTTTTTAAATTAATTTTGCGCCCTTGGTCGCAGTTGTTCGACCATTTTAGGGTGCACAGAAAATGGCCACTTTCTTATATTAGGATTTGTTTGACTATAAAATCCGCGAATATCCGAACAATCTTCACGATAAATTATTATTATAAAGAATAATACAGATCATGTCGAGATAGATTTTTGCGTATACATGAGATGTGCATGGATTACCAGAAATAACCGGATTCTATTGGAATATTGGATTCTCAACGATTTTGCAAGGCGCTTCTGAATTGTTCATTATCAATGTTCAGTTTATCCCATTTTAAACGTTGTATTATAAAAGTATTCTGAATAGTGTTTTTGGCAACATGTATTATCAATGGAATCTCCAGGCGATAGTAAATAAATACTACCTATTTGCTATTAATGCAATTATTTTCTTTATATTTTAAAACGATTTGTTATCTACGGCCCATATGATCATATCTTTTGTATATAACACTTTTTAGATCGACCCTTGCCATATGTAAACATAAACAAAAGCGCACAAAGCATTACCGTGAAACTCATTCTTTAAAACTAGTATGTTGAATTACTGTAGTCATGTGCTGTGTGCAAATTCTCAAAAACTTTACAGCTGGGGGATTTCAAAAGGCCCTAAAATGTTTTTAACGCTTTTTATACTCCATAAATCTTTAAACCAATAAAATCGATCGTGAAAGTTAATAAAAACGTATTTTCTAACAACTACTGTACAAAATATAACATGAAGCAGCCGAAGTAAAATGTATAAAATACACCAGGAGCGTTGTTTGCAAAATTCCGTTGTTTGCAAAATTTGTTAATTTGTTTTAAAAGTAGCCCTGGGATATCTTGCTTTTTTAAATAAAAAGCTCGCAGCTTCATGAGTGAAGTAAAATCATTCGGCGCGTTGCAAAGCACTTAACGTTAACTAGCACTTAACACTATTTTTATGCAACTGATTTTGCAACAGATTTTTCGACCGCTCCACTCACCAGAGAATTTGATGGTGAATCATGTTCTTTTGTCTTAATTCATGCTATATTTGATTTTTTTCTGAAGTATCTGTGTGAACATTGTGAATAATCATGCACTTTGAAGTTCTTTATACGAAAATCTGAAAATATTTATTGTTTTTATTTTGTGATAGGTATTGCACAAGGTTCGAAGATCTCCCCTATTTTGTGTAATCTTTATTTGGGGCATATGGAAAGAGAAGTTTTTCCAGATGTTTTGTGCGACAAAGATTCGCTGTTGATGCGCTGGATGGATGATCCTTTGCTAGTCACATATGACTTGGAGTTGGCAAAGCGTTATCTTACAACAACGCTTGAACTTGATCCAGCGTATAACTGCGAAGTCAACGTCGAGAAATGTCTGGTAAACTTTGATATCCCTGCCCAAAAGGAGATAAATCAGCTTCCTGAATGTGACTGTTGGATTTTCTGGTGTGGCCTTCTAATGAACACGGTTACATTGGAAGTGAAGTACGATTACTCCAAAACCCAAGGTATGTTTTTTTTGTGGATACATTATTTTAAAGCACACATGACCCAGAATTTTTCTTCCCAGACTCTATCTGGCACATTTGTTCAATTATCAACCTCGTCCCCAGGGTCTTCCTCGTGGTGAGGCGTGAGCTGAGGAAGACCCTGGTAAAATACGATGAAATCTCCAAGATTCTTGGAGATTTATCGCATGCGCAGTAACGACAACGTTATGTTGCTGACTACAGTTAGCGCTGGCGCTTACGATTTTCTTGCTTAAAAATATACATGTTTTGTTGAGTGTTTATGTATTTATTCTCAAAGTTTTAACAAATTTTACGAAAAATACTTCAGATATAAGCTGTGAACACACATGTACACAAAACGTTCATGCAACATTCCTCATCATATTGTATCAATTTGTCGGAGTATGGCGCTGATATTTGTGACATCGTTTTGTTCGCTCTGGCAACCCTCGTATATATCAGATGCTCTTCGGCTTCAAATGCGACTGAATAAACACTGATAGTGTTGCCTGGAATATGAAATGATATTGATTGATTGTTCTGTATATCAAGGTACGTACTGTACATTTATACTGAATTTATTTTCACACGAGTTTCAAACTATTTCAGCCTTTAATGAACAGTGATATCACATCATTAATATACAGTCATACAGAAAGACTCCATATTTTCTCATCAATTCTGATTATCGTTACAAGTAACAGTAGAAATGCTTCAAAATTTATTCTGATTTCTATGTAAAGCAGGGCAGCATGCTTTTATTTTGCTCTGGTGGTAGTCACCACTCACCAAGTCAAATGGGCCATTCCATTTAATAGCCCCTCTATTGAGGTCTGGATATCCTATGGGGGAGAATTTTTCTAGAGGGTAGCTTAAGAGCCGTATGCTTGGCATGCTGAAACGTTCGACAGTTCATGTTAGAGATGCAAGCACTAGACGTAGTTTATATCTGGCATTAGTCCGATCTCATCTGGCCTATGCGTCACAGGTATGGAGCCCACAAACCGTAAGCATGTGTGGTGAATTGGAAAATGTTCAAAGGAGGGCAACTAAATTCATCTTGGCTTTACCTTTTGAAACTGACACTTGCTATAAATCAAGATTGCTGGCCTTAAACTTGTTACCACTGAGCTACTGGCACGAATATATGGACGTTCTCCTTTTATTCAAACTTACACGTGGATTTATTTCATCTGACCTCAATATCCTCCCAGAACAAAACAACAAATTAAGGATGAACCTACGGTCACAAAATACCACCCTCGTGGCATATCACATACCAAAAACTAAGACGCTCTGCTATCAAAACAGTTATGCTGTTAGAGCTTCACGGATATGGAACACTCTTCCCGATGAATTACGTCTACCAGAGATTTCATACCATCGATTTAAATCCGTCCTTTCCCAATATTACCTTACTGCCACCAAGACCACCTTCGACAAAGATCACCCCAAGTCATGGAAAACGATATGTCCCAAGTGCCATCTAGCAAGATCATTAAAAACGTTCAAGAACTGTTGTTTCTAGGACTAGCCTTGGTGGCTAATGTGGACTTTGAACTGTAATTATATGTAAATAGATAGATGTGTTGTGTACGTTTCGAGTTCGAGTGGATGTATTGTTAGTACTGTCTGTAGAACCAGGGCATCAACGTAATTGGTTGACGCTGTGTTGATGTACCTGCGCCGTTGTCGTTGTATAAATTTTTGGCGGCAAAGTTTATAAATAAATAAATAAAGAGATTTCCTAAAAATTAGGTGTTTAGTGATATCCAAAGGGGCAGGAACAATATCCAAAAGGGGTAGAAAGATATCCATGGAGAGACCCCTCAATAGGGTGTGTGTGGGAGGGGCTGTATTAGATGGAATGGCCTAGTGTGCTGCAACAACTTTTAAAATTTGTATATATGTTTTTAAGGCACAATATATAATGGAGTTTGATATGATAATCAGCACAACCTCAAGGTCTTGACTGAATGAACAACTTATCTGATATACTCCTAGATCCAATACTTTGCTGTATATTATCACCATCTCAGATGTCAGTTGGATCACTTTGAATGAACATTGGAGTGGCACAATAAAGTGTCTGTGTTAGGGAGGAGTCTATAAGGACTGAAGTAAAAGGCACACTTTTGGATATTTGAATCATAGCAACTACATATAGCGTAGGTGTCAAATAAAGTTTGAACAATGTACAACTGAAAATAAAAATGTATTTAATTTGAAACACTTAAAGGAATTACAACATATTATATGATAGGCATATGTACATGATTATAGGTATATTCATTAGTTTTACTAGCTGATATTTATGACATCCTGGGTGACAACATTTATTTTTCCCAAGATATTTTACTTGCATGATAGTAATAAGTTTAATAGTAACGGAGAAGTGTGATGGATATGTGAAAGTAATTGTCATTAGAAATACAAATATTAAAACTGTAATTTTGACCATTGTAAATGTATTATTAAAGAAACAAAATACAAAAGTCAAACAAGGTTATTTAACATAATACAGTCATAATACTAAACTGGTTATTATTTAAATAACTACTGAATAGAGGGATCATGAAAATGTTCTAAGATTACTATCATAGCTCTGTAACAGGGAAAGGTGTTTATTGAGTTTCTTCACCTTGATGAACAAAATCATATAGCATTAGAAAACTATAATGCCATCAACTATTTCCCATTTAAAAATTTTCATGTTGGTCACTGTGAAATATAATCTTGAGGCCATCTTAGTGATTGTTTACTATCTGATTGATGACATGATTTAATATATATATTTCCATGGAATTCAAGTTGGCTTTTTCCCAAGTTCATGTAAAATATGGTTCACCTGTTAAAATAATAAAATGTTTATTAGTTGTTTTGTAACAGAACAGTACCTGCTTTAAAGAAAATATAGTAAAGAGAAAATCGAAATAACAGTTGTACTGTATATGGAAAACAGAATAAAATCTTTCTAAGCATTTCTACTGTTATCATAATTTTATTAACTGATGAGATAATATGAAGCCTTTCTGTATGTTAAAAACTGATTTCTGAAGAAGTCTTTCTGCATGTGTGAAACTGTGTTAGAAAATGTGATTTCCGAGACTCTGAGAAAATGCGAAAGCAACGTGTGAAAATAAATCGAATAAATTCAGTATAAATCAATATCATTTCATATTCCAGGTAACACTATCAGTGTTTATTCATGAAGTCGCATTTGAAGCCGAATAGCATCTGATATATACGAGGGTTGCCAGAGCGAACAAAACGATGTCACAAATATGAGCGCCATACTCCGACAAATTGATACAATATGATGATGAATGTTGCATAGTTTTGTGTACATGTGTGTTCACAGCTTATATCTGAAGTATTTTTCGTAAAATTTGTTAAAACTTTGAGAATAAATACACAAACACTCAACAAAACATGTATATTTTTAAGCAAGAAAATCGTAAGCGCCAGCGCTAATTGTAGTCAGCAACATAACGTCGTTACTGCGCATGCGATAAATCTCAAAGAATCTTGGAGATTTCATCGTATTTTACCAGGGTCTTCCTCAGCTCACGCGCCATCACGAGGAAGACCCTGGGGACGAAGTTGTTCAATTATTTGCTTCCAACAAAACAGAAAGGGTGTTTTGACATTTTCGTTTATTATTATCGTTAATGGCTGTGGTGTACATAATCTGTTGAATTAAATAAAACTTTGTAAAAGTGTCTAGTACTTACTTTTGTATGTAATTGTACAAATTAACATGTAAAACGCCCCTCCTTAGTCCTGTCTCAAGCCCAATTTACACTACATAACTTTTGACTAAAACTGTCGTCTGCAACCTGCTTACAACCTGTTTAAATCCAGCTTACAACTGACCTACACTCGAGTTGTGTGCTTGATTTAAACAGTACAACGCATGTTGTAAGCATGTTGCATGCGACAATTTTAGGCAAAAGTTGAAATGTAAATCGGCCTTAAACCTACCTGCGCAGTCCACAGATTTTGTCACTGTTTGTAACCTTTATTAAGGATTTTTGTGCCATTACAGATGCGCGATCTAGTCCAGCTTGAGTAGCCTTTTTCTGTTAACGTCAACAGTGTAAAAATCATATTGGAAATTTTGGATTGAAACCGTGCGTGATAACTCTTAGTTCTTCGCGCACTTGTATATATTTTTTTAAGAAAATATGCAAATTTCCTTATGTGGCAGTGTCACATGCTCATCGCAGTAAACGTGGATTGTAACCATATAAGAAGTTGCCAAATCATATTTGTTCCTCTGCAGCCGAAACATATAATTTTTTCTGCTGGCTATAATAATACTGAACAGATTTAATCAATTTTTACTGTCGATGCAATGGAAGTGTTGATAAAATATTGCACAAAATAATTCCTTTCCTCAATTTGATCAATTCATTTGATAGAAAATTGATCAACTTCCTGATACTTTTAGATGAGCCAATTAGATTTCGTTTCAGAACGAATTGACCAATAGGAAACGCACAGGAAGTAAAAAGAAATTTGGATACGTATGAATTGATCAACTTGGGGAAATTAATTCATGTAATATTTTATCAACACTTCCATTGCATCAAGAGTAACAGTCCCGTTCTCTTAAATATACTTTCTGATAACGGGTATTATTATTGATCTGTAGATATGAAGGACGTGAAGAATAGTTTGACCTTCGATGTAACAAAGACGCCCGGGATGAAGATGATGGAAAATTTGATGGCTGCCATGCAAACCAAGCTCCACCAAGTATTCCTTCATCCCACGGTCAACTCAATCCGAACGGTCGAAACTAACCTTCAAGAGTCCTTCATGTATTTCGCCAGAAGATTTGACGCGTTTGTTTCTGAATTGCCACCACGTAAGCAAATACGAATTTATATATTTCAAAGCCGCTGTTCCAGACAACATTGGAGGGCGAGGGTACAAATGCCGCTTTACTATGTACACCCGGTGACCCGGAAAGGAAAGTGAGCGGATTGAAAATTTCATCAATGATTCTGGGTGTATCTCACTGAATTAAATTAATGTGGCGAATGTCAGGCGTGTAGTGAGTGCTATTTGAAAAATCTCAATGAAAATCCACAGTATCTGACTCTATATTTTATAAGTAGCTGATGGGGCCAGGATTGACACAAATGGCAAATTATATATATTTATCATTTATAGACCCAGAGCGAGGGGGATTCGGCGTAATATTTCCCGAAGTGATGATATTTTCCGAGGGGCTTTGTCCCGAGGAAAATATCATCACTGAGGGAAGTATCGTCGAATCCCCCGAGCGGAGGGTCTATAAATGATATATTATACCGGCGGTTAAAGAACTCACTAAGAGTCTATCAAGTTCAGAATAAACTTTAGAACTTGCTGAATAGTGAATATTAACTACGCGAATACAATTTTTAGTTTCTTATCTATACCTGAGTTTTTGACGTTTTCTTCTTAAAATATTTGACCAAGTATCCTTTGGATCGTTGAACGTAACATACGTGTTGAAATATTTGGTTAACTTAGTAAATCTTCTGTAGTTCTGTACGAAATTACAAACAACAGCTCGCGAACGCCATATTGTTTCAGAGCGTGGTGTTGAGTGAAATACCGTAAAAAATTACACTGTCACGTGGTACAAAGTTTTTTTAGATACGTATTCGTCGAGAAAACTATACTTTTCTGAAAACTCATTATGTGATGTGATGTCACACCGGTGATATTTGCATCCCCAAAAAAGTACTTCGGTTTCATTCGTAATAACTTCTAAACAAGTACAGCTTTTAAAGAGAAATAACTTGCATCAAATAGAGGAAGGACTAACTTAGATTTTGATAACTTAGACAGTTGTTTTTCACTTAAAAATTCTCAAACGTTTTCATCTTGAAAGTTTTCATCTTAAATTTTCAATCTTAAATTTGTCATTATGGAGCTGAATGTGTACAAATTTCAATCAAATTTTGTCCATACCTCTGTAAGAAGTGCCTCTTAGCGTTTTCGATCTAAAATTTGTTGTTTTGGGGCTAAATTTTTGGTTCAGTAGTTCAATTTCTCCTTCGTGATATATACCCACATATCGGAATTTTAATTAAATTATCACAAAAATGTAAACAAAACCCGCGCATGGGCAGAACGGACTTGACAGCCTCTTTAAACATTTACAGCGTTCCATTTATTTAGTTTTGGTTTCAAATTAAGTTCACTCCAATAACCGGTGAATTATTCATACTTTGACACTTGTATACTATATAACAAAACACTTATTTACTAAGACTTCAGGAAGGCAGTGTGTTTTGTGGCCCCTCGACCGCGATTGTTGCCCTCTGCTCCGCTTCGGCAACAACGGCGGTCTTGGGTCCACTAAACACACTGTTTCTCTCGGTCTCAGTAATTAATTGATAAATATATTATACTTATGCGGAATTTTTAATTTCATTTCCGCTAGGCATTCAAGTGCATCAGAATCCCGACTTTTTCGTGAAAGGCATGGAGAACATCATCCAGAGATACTACGTACTGGCAAGCAGGTTCTTAGATCGCACCATTACTCAAGAGAAAGTCTTTTCCTTGTTCTACCAAGCTGTGTTGGAGCTCATCAGACGGAAATCAGTAAGGTATGGTGTATTGATTGATATGCTAAAAGGTAAGGTAAATAGCCTATAATTCAACCTCGTTCCCAGGTTTTTCCCTCTTGAGGATGAAAGACCCTGGTCGGAGCTGGTCACGTGGCTTACGGAAAATTAATCGCCTAGGGGTGTGTGGGGAATGTATCAGATTACATGCTTCCACTTCCGCACTTAACACTTCGATCGCAAGGGGTGACATCACATACGCACGTATATACGGCATTAAGTAGATGCTATATTTAATTCTAAAAAGTTGATAGCTATGTCTCACAGCAACGTGTGTTTATTTTTGCTGTCGAAGGCAGCACACTGTTCTTGACGATTTGTTTTTCTTGCACTAGTCCGTTTCCGGCCGAGTTATGTATAGCCGAGTTATGTATAGGTGGATGTACGGATTTTCAGATTTATGACGTATTTTGACGTCACAGAAATTTACTGTAAAAAAATAACATACCCTGGCTGAGACTCGCGAACACCACCTTGGATTATTACAATTTGTAATTTGTAAATAACACGTTGCCTCCTGCCTCTTGTAAATTTTGATTCCAGGTTGCTGCAAATTTTATGTCTGGCTGTTTATCGAAATATTTTTTACGTCTGGCTATTTATCGAAAATATTCTTCAAGATAAGATAAAAGTTTGATCTCAAATAACAATGTGTTTTGGTCGAAGTATTTTACCCATTCGGAAACGAGTGAATCCACTATTGGAACACACAATGACACAATTGTAGACGAAGGAAAAATTATCTGACTTGTAGGCTACAAATATTTTCCCTTGGTAATTTACATGTCAAGCTGTTACATGTGTTAACATTGTTAACCGGGCCGGCTTTTGTAAAAGGCTGTTTTGGTCGAATTATTTTACCCATTGAAACGAATGAACCCACGCACTATTGGAACACACAATGACACAATTGTATACGAAGGAAAAATTATCTGACTTAAATACAAAGATATTCCTATAGGAACCCAGTGTGGATTGATGTTTGCACACAGTAACTTACCAGCAGTTACATGTATGTCAACCGACTTTTGTAAAAGGTATGACTGTCTGTAAAAATATGTCTCACATTTTGTATTTTCTTGAAAGGAGCTAAATAATGAAGATGCTATGTGACAATTGTATACTAAAACTGTCTGTACCAGTGTAGGTAGTACCAATGTGAAATGTTTCTAAAAATTTTGTAGTGGTATAAGTATTTTAAATTAACTGATAACATCTAAACCTTTGCCTCTGACACTACATTTGATGACAGCTTAGTTGGACTGTTGTTTTGAACAGAGTTGCAGAAATACAGGACAGGACATACAGCTATTTCAATTAAGGTTGTCCACGAGCAAAGTAGAAAAGTCGAATACGAGCGCGAAAGGCCGCTGGGAATCGCTTTGAAAATTCATTAATTTGTTAGCGATTCCCAGCAGCCTTTCGCGCTCGTATTCGACTTTTCCGCTTTGCTCGTGGACAACCATAATTGAAATAGCTGTATACAGTCTCTTTTGTATAATTAAATATTCAAACTGTAGCGCACGCAACGAAAGTGTCTTTGACTTTACCATACGTTTGATTACCGGCAGAATTCTTGATCATAGAGTCTCAGCGATGCCAAAACGGTTTACATGTATCACAGTCTTTGAAGGGCTTTTCACAGTCGGGAGAGCATGTTTAGAATTTACACACAGTTCGCCGCGGGTCACAGGATCTTGCTGTTTTATAGCAATTCCACGTCTCTACACGAGGTAAATTCGTTGGGTTTACGTATCGGACAGGACACACTTCAACACTGACAACGTCACAACCATATCGTTGTCTATCGTTTGCTCGACCGGTCTAGAAGATTTTTACGGCGAAAAGCGTCCTTTCGTTGCCAAGCCCGGATCAAACTTCTCGCTTGACTAATGTAACCCAACACCCTATGATATAGAGGAAGTCGAGTCATAATAAATACGAAATCTTTCCGGATTTCTGTTGCAAATTTAGATTTTATCGCCCGAAACTATAACACACAAGTTGTAATTTTCCAAATGCAACAAGCGCACTCACCCACCACCCCTCCCTAAGTACAATTTCAATTTAGCACCCAGAATCTGGGAGCCAAGTGATCAGCTCCGACCAGGGTGTTTCCTCATCAAGAGGAAGAGCCTGGGAACGAAGTTTCCTATAATTGTTTTCTTATCTTTGAGGTATATACTGTAGTAGTGTAGACGAAAGTCATCAATTTCTGCCTCGAGATCGTTGTTGCCACAAAGTATATTTAATAATATCTCGTCGTTGAGATTTTTTGGTCTTTTAGCTTGTCGGTGAATGCAATCTTTTTCTCTTCCAGCACTGGTTTTCCTTCTGCCGTATCTTCGTATGACACTATTAGTTCGTTACTCATTCGAATAAATTTCTTTCCGTAGTTGCGATGCGCTTCGCGCACTTTTTGTCCACTTCTTCGCGAACTCAGCCATTTTATGTTTCAATCCGGCTTGTCAGGGACCAGGTTTCGCAAACTCTACCCAGAGTTCATCCAGTTTTCGCTTTCTCAAGGAGAAAGTCATCGAGATTTTGTTCATGTAGATGAAGAATTAAAAACCCGAAATCAGGGTCAGAAGCTTCATCATAGAAACAATAGGAGTTGATACTTGATTATGTATTTTCACATATTTTACTGTAAAACCATTATACAGTATCCTTACTGTAAACATTTAGTTTACAGCAGAAGTTTAGGTGAAACCACAGATTTTACTGTAAAACCACTATACAGTATCCTTTCTGTAAATATTTACAGTAGGATTAACTGAAAACCCCCCAGGAATTTTTAACAGTGTAGATGAAGCACAGGTTTCTTTTGAAACCTGGCTCTAAAAAATAATCGCTTTTTAGTGCAAAGTTTCTTCGAAAGTTTGCAGTATTGTGATGATGGCGAATTGAAACGAGTGATTTATCGTACTTAGTGCTTTGAAGGTTATTTAGGCAATTTCAATTGTCTTATTTAAAAATTATTGAGGCCTTTTGCCAAGTTCACAAAAATTTAGAGGAATCGTTTTCGTCATTGCAAATTTGATAACATTCGCTTTCCATGTTGTGTAAAGGATCTTTACCACGGAACATTCGATTTTTCTTTGGCAGTGCAAATGCTCGTGTCTATTAAGTTATCCCAGCGTTCTTTGACCCCCCATCCGCGATCAAGTCAGATCATGTTAGCGGCATCGAGTGAATCACTTAAATAACGTCACCCGAAGTTCGAAGGATAAATGGATATCAGCCTTCACTGACTTCACAAGGTGGAAATATTTCCATATGCATCGGCCATCATTCGAATATAGAATAAAAAAAAGTATGACTGGTTTATAGTTTATTTGTCAGGTAATTTGTATTTAATTCTCGTTTTCTCTAACTTAAATAATATGACTATTGATATAATAACACTCCTCGTATCCTTTTGCGTAAAAAAACATAAATGATTTATTAAAAAACCTCTCATGCCCCTGTCACCCGTCTTTGCAGCCTTGCCCCTGTCACCTGCAATTAATACGAAATATAAATTAAAATTCCAGGACAATTATATTATATTTACATTATATTGTTTAAAATATAGATTACAAAATAATAAGCCGCAATATAGAACCACTGGTAAAAAATAGAGGAAAGCGAAAGAGCCGCAATATAGAACCACTGCCTAAATAGAGGAAATATTGCATAATTCATTTGAATGATAACTCATTTGTTTGTTAAAATAAAAAGACTATATATTCAGTATTATTCATGTAGTTTTGATTATATCTAATGAGTTACATTATGTGTAATTCCATGTCAATTCATCCAGAGGGTAGAACCTCCCCTCTTGGACTTTATTCAAATTTGACGGAAATAACGTGAGACATGCAAAAATGAAAAATTTTCGAATTGTAGTTTAATTATTTTAGCAGGCGTCGGACTTCATACTTTGAGAAATTTGATAAAAAAATGGGTATGGCTCGAGGAAATGTTCTCGGATAGCGGTTCTGCAGTAAAATAGTAACACAATCTTGATTATTTGAGCTATAATAAAACAATTTGGGACATTGCATATTTGATGCTGTAGAATTAAAAAAAAAATTAAACTATTATTATCACCCCACTTCAATTTTAGATTCTGGAATGTGGCGAACATTGTAGGGTAATTTGATCAATTGTTCTTCCATAGGCTTCAAACGTTGCACCAACTTGAAAATATGTACCCAATATCATTATGGCACATCATAGATGCTTGTAAGTCATGATAATCACACTGATAATTAGGGATGAAACTATTTTTACCTTAGAAGCGGAAAACATTGTTTTCATTTATTTCTCAAGGTCCAAACTGATGATTCTGGTGTAGTCACTCTCACTAATTTTATACATCCGACCGGTTGTTGTGTCTGTAGTGGTCCACTTTGCATATGAATATGTCAAAAGGCACCCAAAACTGGTCGTCTCTTACCGCCACGTAAAGTTTAAACTTGGCCCTTGTGGGTGCATGAATTTGACAAGAATGTCTTCCTGCTCTTTGTCTATTTCTTGAACTACTTCAACCCACCAGAACGAATCATTTTGACAAGCAATAAATTCCATGATCTTTACGTCAGTCAATTCCATGATCTTTATGTTTACCTGCTGCTACAGTGTAAAAAATTTAAATATTCCAGCTGCAGCTTCATCATCACGAATCCTCATGGATCTAACATGCCCTTCAGAAAGAGGAGAAAAATGACGATAACTCCTTGTACAAGGATTTTTTTCCACTTTCACATATGGTATACAGCATTGGTCTGATACGTGTCATTTATATATTTTTGTAACCTTCAGAAATTTGTTGCATTTACTGTTCTACTCACAGTAATTGGTTCGTTAGTTTTTGTAAGGCGGGTAGGATTTTTGCATAAGGGTGACTTTGCTAGCAACGTCCAACTATTTGCAAATCTAGGGTTTTCATGTAGCGATTGGGACGCTTCTCCAACTTTTTCATTGATATGGCTTTTCAGTCTACTCATGTCCTCGGCATGTGGTAGAACGTCAACTTTGTTGTACTTTCTTTCTCGCAATGTTGTCAATGAATGGTGGGACACGAGAGGTTCCCACTCCGATTTTAGGAATTTAAGAAACAACGTTATCACTTCAACGTCAGTAGTATACCCATAAAAGTACTCGATTTTTTTGGGGGGGTGTGGGAATTTTTTCATTTTACTATAAGATAGTATTGTAAAAGAGTCGGGTGATCTCTGAAAAATCCTTGAAAAAAGTGTCCCCGGACGGGGGGACTTTTTTTTGGGTGTGGTCCTGGGCGTGGTCGGGCGACGTGCGCCGTGCGCCTGTGTGTTTCGTGTTGCGCATGCGCGGCCGAGATGCTTCTCCGAAGCCGTGGTCGACCGCACTGAGCGCTTTCGAATTTGGCGCGCGCCTTTATGTTGCAAAACGGAAGTGAGGTCATGTATGTTTTTTTGTAGGGGAAGATCAAATAACAATGTTTCAGGTTACATTTTAATATTTTATTCATCTTTATTAATAATTTACAAAGTTTTAATTTTTAATATTAAAAATTAACTAGATATAGTGTTTTTATAGTGTATTGTTTTTTTCTACCAGCGGTAATAAGTTACTTTCTATATAGTTTAATTTTGAGAGTGTTTCACGATGTTTTTTGATTTTTTCCAAAGCTTTTTTCCTTTTTTCTGCGACCATTTCGAAAGAGCTATAGTGCCCTATTGCAAAACATTTGATGTCGTACGGGTGTCGTGTATATATTGGACATTTTTTCCGTATTTCACCTCCTGAGGTTAACAGTTGCACTTCTCGTAATGCTAATGCGGCGTTGTTTTTCTGATCTTCGCTTTCGTCGTTCATACGCATCGTGCTTATGTCGTTGGTGGGCCTACCCGAACCTCGAACACCGCTTTTCGATCGTTTTCGTTTTGGTGTCTTCGCTGCGTAATCGTCTTTCAATTTTTCAATATTTTTTCCCACCCCAAGACCCAACTTTGGTGCGGGTCTTGGTGATATGAGATCTGATATGTCGACCTGTTCGAGATTTGGGGGGATATTTCCAATATTATCGTTCATTGTTTGTAACTCGGCCGAATCCAATGTTTCAAAAAGTGCTTGTTCAAGCGTGTTGTTCGTTGTTTCGGTCGTTGGCGCGGGCATTGTTGTTGTTGTTGTTGATGTTTCGCTCGTTGGCTGAGTTCTGTTCTCTAGCGTGAATGTATTAAAACATTCTGCGCCCGGTAATGTGGCCAGTTTTATGGGTAGGTGAAGGGGATCGGGTAGAAGACTTAGATCGGGAAGGGGTGAAGGTGGTTGAGGAGTTGGTATTACAACGCCGGTTGGTGGTGTTTGTGGTGGTGTGCAAGTATATTGTTGGTGCCAGCGGATAAATTGTAGCTCGAACGAACTTGTATTTCCAAGACAGAATTGTTCAAAATTCCGGTACAGATCCTGGTATGCAGTGTAGTTGGTATCGTTTAAATTAAAACCCAAATAGTCTACGAAGCGTGTGAAGTTGTTGCTGCCCATGCTGAAGACTGTTTGTGCAAATGAACTACAGTATATTTTTCGGTCGGGTTAATATCACAAACTTGCGGTCTTTGACCATATTTGGTCATTATTGCGGAATCTTTAACATTCCACGCAATTATTATTGCTCAAAGTGTTGCCCAAATATGGTCAATGATGTAGCTTTGTGCGTTTTTCGTGTAATATTGACTAAATATGGTCATTTTCTTGTTTTTTAGAAATCATGGCCAAGGTGACTAGTCTCAAGGTTATTACGCTGTGGGTGGTGTTAATTTTGGGGTTGTTTTATTTGACATTATATATATGTGGAACAATTGAGGGCGTAAAATTTGCAAGTAAAGTGTTGGTTTTGATGTTACAAAATTATACGGCAATAACACAGGGATCTTATTCAGCCACCGCTACAGTTATTCAGCTTTTAGAAGAAAGTGAATTTTAAAATAAAAGGTATGGAAAAGTTGAACAAAGCGATTTATGATTTTTTTTTTAATATAAATAAAGAATTTGCTATCAAGGTTACGGATGCTTTGAGTTTTTTTCCATCGTATGAAACAAAATTTAATTTTTTTGGACGGTGTGTGGCGGGTGTTGAGCTTGTGCTTTGTATGGTTCCTTACGAATATGAACTTAAAAACGGTGTACATTGGCAGGGTATTCGGGTATATGATCATTTTAGTCAAAGACGTTTTTCCTGTTATTTAGTTATAGACGCTACAGTGGGGTCGATAAGATTTTTAATGCCGGTTTTTCATATACCCGCTTTGGGAAATCATCACGCAACGCAGTTTGTAAACTCTTTGGCACGTCAAATATTGTACGAAATGTTAATGGGTCAGGAGTTGGGTATGGTACCATATTGGAAAATTGTAAAAGAGAGCGGTGTGCTTGCCTCACCAGAATTATTATCTTTTATTAGGCAATATGCATTTCCCAAAGACGACGATGTTTAACTACGGGCGAAATTTGTCTACGAACCCGATCGTTTTACCCGTGATATGTGCGCATGGGTTATGCCAACAATTAAATGGGAGTTTATTTTTCGACGCGTCCCAAGTTATACCCGATGATGTCAAAAACTATTATTACAAATATCATCTGCATTTATCGTATTTTTGTTATGGTCGTGATGTTTATCCGTGGAAGGGTAGATATGAGATACGTCTTGGTATAGGAATGAATAGAACATACGGCAAGATCATTGTGGATGTTTTAAATGACCGCAACCTTCATACTAATATTGTACACGATATAAGCAGTATTTTTGAGGGTATGCTTGCCTACGATATATTTGGTGATACAGAAGCGGTACAAGGGATATTTTTGAGAGAACACAAAACTGCTGTCGATGAGCGGGTATTAAGAGAATTTTACTGTATAATGCAGAGTGTTAATAACGCACGAAATAACCCTTTATTTTTATAGATGTATTTTCATTCATTGGGTGAGTGGTATAATTTGGGTTCTGCGCGTTTACCCGTGATATGTGTAAAAGGACGTTTGGCAAGAGTCTGTATGGGGTTATTTTTGCGTTATTGTCATGATAAAACTTGTATGCTTTTGAATTATTATGAATATCCAGCGGACAAGGCGTATTCTCGGGGACCTATTGCGATAGACGTGGATTTTGTTCTACAAGCAAACAATAGTGTGAAATGTTTTGTAACAATATATGGCCAGCAATATCAGTATCTTAAGCGCGTGGTTTTAGAGATTTTAGAAAACTATATGGTGGCGGCAGACATTGACACTTTTCAAACATTTTTGTTTTTTGAACAACGGGTAGTTATTGATGAGCCTGTTTTAGTGGCCGCAAAAACTATTGTAAATAATTTATTAAAAAAATGAATAAATAAATTGAAAAGATATATTTGTGTTTTGTGTAGAATGGTGTGGCATACATATGAGGATCGTTTATTGGCGCACTATATATTTAAAACCCGACCAGTTAACCCCTATCGCGATGGTGTAGCGGTGCTGTGTAATGGGGATATACACTTTGCAAAAATGTTTGTTTCTATGGATTCGTCCCTCCCTACTGGCGATGTCCGTCTGCGTGTTGTGAATGTATTTGATCGACCCGTATATGTGGTTATGATAAGACCGCTTTCAAAATGTTGCCCTATTCATATACTTCCCGAACCCAATGCAGCTTACCCAAATCGTGATTTGGCTGTGGATATAAAAATGGGTTTAGGACGTGTTGCGCCAGTAGATAGAACTGTTGGTGTTGAGGTGGTACGTCGTAGAATTTGTGCGGCGACACATATTTTATATTCGTCTGAATTATTAAAAATAGTCCAAAAATATGAATGGTGGTGATGAATGTGATCATGGTTTAGGGGAACCATTAGAAGTGTTGGAGGATGAGGAATGTTTAATGGTTATAAAAGAAATGAAAAAGGACCGTAAAGATTTTAATTTTTATACATCACTACTTTATGAGATAGACGGTGTACGACTTGTGGACGAGACAATGAGCTTGCAAATATGTGCTCATGGGGGTGTAAGACCGTTACCCTGTGTATATACCTATCTGAATGATGTATCATTTACAAATGTGGCGCGTATCTTGAAAATAACACATATCGATTGGGCTAATGCGCGTTATTGTACGGTTTTTATAACAATACCAATTTATCCGATTTTTAAAAATTTATGGGCTAATGCGTGTACGTTGCCTAAACAAGAAGTTAGTGTGCGTGTTGGACATCAGTGTATGTTACAACGTCGTCCGGGCATTGACCTATCTAGGGGTAGATATGAAGACCGGGTTATTGTTCATTATAAATCACTTATGGTTGCTATAAAGGAAATGCTCGTAGAAAGGGACGTTAACGAGATGTGCGAATCGCTTATTAATACTGATATATTATACTCTTACCGATTTGTTTGTGTGGCAATGTTTGCATTACGTTTGCAAGCCGCTGTTTATACGTATATGTGTGCGTGCCCGTGTAATTCTGAAAATGAGTGCAGGTGTGAGAATATTTGTTCTACTGTTTTAGACATATTTGGCACCTGGAAACTGTGTTGAAATGGCTTGGTGCTATACAAAACCCTTAATGGCTTTGGATCAACGTCTATTTATGATGATTATGAAAAAAAAAAATATTCCTGAAGATGATGGTGATAATTGGGATCGGGTAACGAGTATCTGTCTTTATGGAAGAATATTTAATACCACATATTGGTTATATCAGCATGCTGAGTCTGGTGGCAAAACTTATGATTTTAAAACATACTCTTTTAGTTTAGTTAAAATATCGGCTATGTCGGAACACACGTTCGCCACACTGTTGATCAAATTTAAACCTGTGACACAACATAATAACGTTTTGCATACAAATATGATGGGGTTTCGATATACGAAGACACGCGAATGTATGCATCAACTATTTGAATTACCTACAGAAACGCAGTTGTTAAGACAAATTATTGTTGATGATATTCTCAGAAAATCTCTGGCCGAGCTAGAGGCTTTGGGTGACTTGAATGATGCGTGTTTGCGTTTATCTTGTGACATTGCGGACAAAAGAGATACTTTAATTTCACCACTTTTACTTAAAGATATTTTATTTTATTATAAGCAGCTAGTAGATAATTTAGTGTTAGTAGATGCTCACTGTGATTGTTTTAATCTACATGCGTGCCATATAAATTGTAATTTAATAAATTTTTTTTAAAATGGTTATGGGTGTTTTGTGTGTCGGAGGGCAAAAAAAATGGCTGATACTAACGTGTTTGCAAAACAACATTGTGAAATAACAAAATATGATGTGGAATGTGTTCGGAAATGGGGTGTGTCTAAACGAATTACGCATATTATTGATTGCGAGGGTTATTCAACACCGCGCTCTAAAATATTTTTGCGCGAAGTCTCAGTATGGTGTCGGCAAACAAAGACGGTTTTAACATACCACATCTATATGCCTAAAAGAATATTTTATGAAAAACATAAGTGTGTTCAATATCAAATAAATAAGATACATGGCTTACCCATAACAAGATGTCGTGATGGTCGGGATATTGACATACCGGGAGAGTATTATCTGTACGATGAAGTGTTGACAAACTTAAGACGGGTGTTTTGGAATGCTGATTTAATCGGGTACAAGGGTGGTATAATTGAGCGTGATTTATTACGGGGTATTGGTTATGACGGTGTAAATTTAGAACTATTGGAATGTCCGCGTTATGAGACGTTATTGACCAAATATGGTGCGAGACCGCATACTTGTGGGAAACATTTTGAGGGTTATAAATATCACTGTAGCGGGCATGAGGTAGTGCTTTTTGGACGGTATTTAACAGAATATGCAGAATAGCGATATTTTACCTTACGCTGAACGCCACGGATACGAAGTTACTGATAAATATATAGAGGAAGCGTTACAGATTTTGCTCGGGATATACCCCTATCATCCTGGTTTGTGGCCCTTGTACGCCGTTAACAAGTATCTATACTCTTATAAGCCCGCACCAGTAAAAGAAAAACGTATACAGGATTATGTACGTGTGGAACCCGATAAAATATGGTTGTGTGGGGAAATGGAGGAGGTACGTGACATATTATTTGAGGCAACCCCGATGACTGTAGGTGTGTCCCTATGGTTTTGCAGCCGCCCGCGAGAATGTTATATTATCCCTGCCGAATGGGCAAAACATTTAATTATTCGTCGTGGTTTGGGTTCGTGGTGGTTTTATTATATGCCTTTTGAGTTTTGTTGTCGGCAAATTTTAAAACCGGACGGTGTTTCGATTATAGAACTGCGTAGTATCGGTGTTGACCGCAAGTATTATCTTGATGAGAGCTTTTATCATTTGGGGTTTGGACCGTGCGGTGACAATATGCACACCGTTTACGAGGTGTTCGATTGTTTTGTGGGTCTAAAACAACTACATACAACTATAAACTCTTTGATGGGCTCCGGAATGGTCTTTGCCACCAACACCAGACATTGTGTTTATGAATTGATTTATAGTTTAAGTTTAAATAGTCGATCTTTATTACTTGAATACCCTATGTTAACCGAAAAGGGTAGTACTGTAAAAATAGATGTAGAGCAGTTTCAAACACAATTTTTGCGAAATAGTTTAAAACATATTTTAGTGTGCGCTAAATGTAATGTGTATTTAGTAATGTTTTTGAAAATATTATTTAGAAGCGTACACATTTATAATGAGCCACAACCCATGCGAAGTGAACCCTCGAAAGACTTAACGCATCAGGGTCAACTATGTACGACGCGGTATATATTAGACGGTGACTTTGACATATTACGAGCGAATGCATATAACGATATAGTGTTAGAAATACCTAAACCATATCTCGATGCTTGTATATATATGCAGGCTTTTATGCGTAAATATAGTTTTAGTTTAAATTTGTAATGATGTGGTGTGATATATTTCCATTATACGACAAATATATACATCGAGCTTATGCGATTGTTGATTTTACTGGGTGCGTATGGGGTTTTGTCCAAATAAGGTCAAAAACGAAAGAATTTCAAATCATACGACAATATTTATATAATGGTGTTTATGAACGTGGGTATATATTACAGGAGTTGAATCTACATCGACGTCGTAAAATAATTGATGCAGTAAAGGGGCACTCTTTGTTAAAAATTGAATTACAAAAATACACTTTGGTTGTCATAAAAGAGAAAAATGGCCTATAGAACCTACAGTTTTAAAGCTTCGTTTTCCATTTCCGAAGGGGATGTAAATATCAAACTACATCGGGCGACGACTTTAGCCGAACAAAAGTTAAAGTTACGTTATTACAAATACATTGACTATATACTACAGCTCTCGACTAAAGTGGTTGGGCTAATGCAATTTTCACAAGCGACAACACCGCAACCCATCAAAAGGGTATTTGCCGATTGTGGCGTGCTGCTTGAAATACAACCGATAGGCCGCAAACCTATCGTAGAACATATACGTGTTTGGGCCCTGTCACGACATCATGGTTTGCAAAAAAACCCTGCTGAATGGGGTGCGTTTAGTTTTGGCGGTCCTGCTTTGGAATCGAACATGAGGATGATTTTACAAAGTCGTATTGAGACATACATTTCTGTTCTGGAAGAGTATTTAGCGAGTAAAGACCCCGACGCTGTGTTACGTAATCATCAGGCCCTTTATGGTGTGTCTGAGTTGCCTAAATTAGCGGGTTTTGTAGATGCTTTACGACGTTTACCCGTGGACGGTATATAAATAGCGTATTGTATTTTATGTAATCATAACGTGTATGATGTTGGAGAGTACGTTTCTTTATTGGAGATGTGCGAAATTTAAAGAAAGTATGTGAACATTAAAAAAAATGTTCTCCATCAAATTTTTTACTTACAAACGTGTAAAATTTAAAAAACAACAACAGATGGGTGAATAATTTATATAATAACAGATGGACACGGGGCAGATAAAAAAACAATGGTTTGTTTGTAAATTTTTTATTTTTTTAACATTTCCTTATTAAAATATAATATTATTCTACTGATAGTACTGATAATGTGTCGGCACATTGTTCTTGGCTGTTCGTTTTGTTGTGTGTGTGAGATTTCCAACACCCCCAGCACCATATTGGTAGACTTTGCGTCTGTGTCGGACAGGCCCTTTTTTGTTCACTCTACCACCGCGTTGCCTTGACCGTCCTTTTTTGGTTTTCACAGCCGCACGTATATCGTTGTTTAAACGTCTAAAACCCGCGCTATTCATGGTGGTAACGTCACGCTTGTACGTGTGAAATGAAGTTTTCGCGGTATATCCAAGTATTTTATAACCAATAATCACGACCGTAATTTGTAAATATTTCCTGATGCGGTTGTATCGTAGATGTAGCTTTTAGACGAAAGGCACTGCGGCCTTTTATTCTACTGTTATTTTGAAAACGGCTATTGCGGGCGTCGTTTACAAAACGTGCGGCACCGTCGGTAGTATGATTTGCATCTATACAGCGACCTCGTCTGTTACATATGGTATACTGTGCCGTTGCATCACCGTATTTACGATCGATTTGTTGTCGGGTTCTTTTGCGTCCGGTGTACTGGGAAATAATTCTACCCCGGGGTATTGGTTTTTTCCATGCGTACAAACCCTTGCCGGCGTTAGGAATTTGGGAGGGTTTTATACGTAAATTATCCTGTTTGGCCAGATGAACCCAACATTTTTTTGTATGTGCTGTACGTTTTCGACATTGAACATCGTGAACTGTGTTTGATACACAACGTTGAGATTTACGTTTACTTTGTACTCTTGGGGGTCTCCACCCATATATTTCTCTATATTGTCGGCGGTTTAGGAATCTTTCGTTAAAATGACTCATACGTTCTAACCTAGGCGCCATTTGTTCCAGAAATCTATCCATTGTGAACTGTAACAACCCCCACGTATTTTTCTTCGTTTCGTTCAATAAACTTTATAATCGCCTCTACTTTAGATAAAGGCACAGTTGGTACTTCGATGCTGCGCTGCCACTCCGCTAGTCTGTCCTTTAACAGTTGGGGTGGTAGTTTTATAATTTGACCACCATTCATTCTCCAATCCAAAAGACATTCAGGTAAAATTATTGTTGAAAATAATAAATCTAGATCATTGTCCTCGACTTCGTAGGCTACATGATTAATATCGTGTGGTCCTGTAGCGTAATCATTTTTTAGATATATTGTAACGTGTACGCAGGTTGCTGCCATTTTTGTAGCACTATGTCGTTGAGCAAGTTATTCGGTTGTGGGGGTAGCGACACGCCGTGGATAACATTTAAATGTGTTTTTGTTAATAGAAGCACAAACGTTGCTTTGGACGGTGTGGATGCAGGTGGTGAAAATTGTGAAACGGAGGAGGACGACGAGAAATACGAATACGTAGTGAGGAGTTTGGGTTGCATACAATGGCGTCGTCGCCGCCCCAAAATAAGCGTAAACAAAGAGACAGTGGAAATGACGAAGGAAGAAAACGCTTAAAAGTGGACGAAAATATGCTACAGGATATTATAAAAATGGTGCGTAAAAATAAGAATAGCAGAATTGAACTTACGCCGCAAGTAATAGTTGACATTGCACAAATGGCCAAAGATAATATAAAACAATTACGACGCAATAAGAAGGGAAAACGTGCACATTATCGGATCGAAGCTCGAGATATTGCCGAAATAGCTGAATTGGTGAAAGAAAATCGTAAAAAAATAAAAAAAAAAATATTTCATGTTAAACAAATAGCGGGACATCGTCGTTGGGGTTATAATGAGTATGTATATGATGTCAAAATCGGTCCCGCTAATACAAGCACATTACCGGCTTTTTTGAATAGTTTGCGCGAGGTTTTTAATTACTTAATTAACATCATGAAGTATATAGCTAGCACGCCAACGGATAAAGCACGTTTCTATATTTCTAAGGCGCCGATGCGTGCTTTTTCAACGGCAATTCTGAATGTTTGTGATTTTAATGCGGATTTGTTTTTTGACGTTTTTGAACGTCACATGCAAAGTAATGCGGAGGTGATTATTAATGAGGGCTGGCAATCGACGATAAGTATTTTTATCTTTCCTAATAATTACGTTCCGCGCACAATAAAACGAAAGAAAAAAAATCCGAAAATGTACGCGTATTTGATGAAAAAACCGAATGAATTTGGTAGGGGTCGTAAAAAAACGGCAACCAAGCATGGTCGCGATGTTCGGCATGGGGTGTTTCAAATTGTGGGTGTAACTAACTGTTGCTTTGCTTATGCTTTATGTGTTGCACGGTCCTTTTTACACAACGACGAAAATTGTAAAAAATTGAAACTTAACCCCAACACAACATTGACAACTTTATACGAAAACGAACAAATACACGACATGTACAAACGCTGCGGTGTGGCTCGGGGGAAAGTGCGTGTGGCGGATCTGCATTTGTTTTACGAACGTATACTGGCGAAAGAAAATACGGAATTAGTTGTTTTTTCAAAAACTCAAAACGATACGGTGGTTTACGATTCGCGTGTAAATCGAGACGGTCATGTTTTACGTGTAAATGAAAATATTATTTATTTGTGGTTAAACGACCAACATTACGATGTCATTCTTTCGCCCAACACTTTTTTAAAATTACAGGGTTTTTGTTTTAAGTGTATGCGGCATTTTCAGCGTGCCGAGACGGTAACAAACCATGTTTGTCGGGGTATGTATACGTGCCCCAATTGTTATTCGCCGAATGCGCTTTGTCCTAACGAGGGGTTAAATAAAAAATGTCCCTTGTGTGACGTAATCTTTCAGAATGCCGCGTGCTATACGCGTCACTTACAAAATCGGGTATTCCCCGTGGGTCGACGTCACGAAACACCGTGTCAGCATATGTTTTTTTGTTCGACATGTTACAAGCGGGTACCCCGACTAGTTCAAATTAACGGTAAAAAACGAACGAAACATAAATGTGACGAAATGTATTGCTCTCATTGTCAGGGTATTCGGAAAAAAACGCATGAATGCTATATGAAAACGTGTCGAATACATGGTGACGTACAGCACCCCACATTATTTTTTTTTGATTTTGAAACACGGAAAGATGACGAGGGCTATATGATACCGTTTTATTGTGTAGTGCAGAAAGTATGTGTACAATGCGATGAAAAACCGTTCGAGAAAATAAAAGAGGCTTTTGAACCCGTGCCCGACGAACCACATGCAGACGCTTCCGTACAACCGGTTATCTGTTGCGGCTATAGACAGTACGTGTTTGAAAAAAACAATGCGTGTATCACTGCGGATCTTGTTGATTTTATGTACGCACAAGAACGTAACAGTGTCTGGGTGGCACATAATGGCGGACGATTTGACACTATTTTCTTATTACGCGAATTGCTTATCGAACGAAATGTTGTACCGCAAACAATTATGAACGGGAATAAAATCATGTGTATGGAGATCGAAGAGCGAAATTTAAAAATACTCGACAGTTTTTTATTCATGAGCATGGCACTTAGTAAATTTCCCGAAGCATTGGGTATTCAAAATATTGCCAAGGGTTTTCATCCCTACCACTTCACCGATTTGACATATGTAGGTCCCATGGTGGGTTTAGAATATTTTGAACCCCCCGCTGAGGGTACTCCTGAGCGTACCAAATTTGATAAATGGTATAGAGTACAGTGTTTGAAAACGTATATTTTTAAAGAGGCGATTTATTATTATTGTCGTTTAGACGTGGATATTTTACGTCAGGGTTGCATAATCTTTGCACGTTTAATAAAAAATATTACGGGTGTTTTTCCTTTTTATGACAAAACATGTCACACTATAGCCGGGTTGGCATTGAAAATATACCGTAGTAATTTTCTTGTGAAAGACACCATCGGTCAGATTCCCGCAAAAGGGTATGGGACACAAGTTAAACAGAGTGTAATAGCGCTGTATTGGTTACGTGAGGTTGAAAATGAATTAGCTGAAAGTGATTATTTTTTACAAAGTAATCTATCCGTGGACGGTGAAACACAGATCATGGGTCGGTATGTTGACGGCTATTGCGAATCAACGCGTACGATATATCAATTTCACGGGTGTTTTTATCACGGGTGTCAACAATGTTACGAGGGTGACGAATACAATAAGGTGTTGAATGAAACCTATTTTACATTGCGTGAGCGTACAAGACGTACGGAGAAAATGTTTAAAGATGGTGGTTATAGGGTTATCACTATGTGGGAGTGCGATTACATGCGTACAAACAAGCTAAGCAAAAAAACGATAGATTGTTTAAGACACCGTGATTTTTTCATTAATGTTCACTTAAATCCAAGGGATGCTCTTTTCGGGGGGCGTACGTCACCGGCACGTTTATACTTTGAGTCGACAACTGAAAAAGCTTTTTACGGAGATTTTACATCCTTATATCCGTATGTCCAAAAAAAAAATGTTTATCCGACACGTCACCCAACCATCGTGCGGGGAGAAATGGCATGTGATAAGATACCCATTGCAACCGTTTTTGGGTTAATTAAATGCCGTATTGCCACCCCCGCACGTTTATTATTTCCCGTTTTACCGTTTCGTGCTGGGGGTAAATTAACATTTCCGTTATGTGCCACGTGCGTTTCGACGCATAGTGACGAATGTACGCACGATGAAGATCAACGTGCTTTGTGGGGTACGTGGACAAGTATTGAAGTACAAAAAGCTTTACAACACGGCTATAAAATCTTAAACGTGTACGAGATTTATCACTACGAAACGCGGGAAAAAATATTCGACACGTATGTCGATACGTTTATGAAATTAAAGCAGGAAAGTAGCGGGGTACCTAAAAAATGTCTGGATAGCTCGGGGAATGTCGATTCCGTTTTACTTAATCGTTATATTGAAGAATATCGTGAACATGAAGGGGTTCAATTAGAAGCGGCAAAAATTGCCTATAATCCTGGTCAACGAACAGTTATGAAAGCACTTTTAAATTCTTTATGGGGGAAATTAGCCCAAAATGAAGATGCGACCGTTGTGTCGTTTGTGGATAGTATAAATGAGCTATTAACCATGGTCAACGATAACACCGTGGAAGTAACCTCGATGGATTTTATTAGCGATACTATTGCGCGTACAACACACCGTAAAACCAATTCCCTAATTACGTTGGCAAATCGTAATGTGATTATCGCGTCGTTTGTGACCGCCTATGCCCGGTTGGAATTGTTTGAAGTTTTGCATAAATTAGGTGACAGTGTCATGTATTACGACACCGATTCGGTTATTTATGTGGAAAATAAAGCAAAGGGGCAAACGTTGGCCACGGGGGAATATCTGGGGGACATAACTGACGAATTGTCGGAAAAAAATTGCACTGAAAAATGGATCGAACAATTTTGTACGGCGGGACCCAAATCCTATTCGTTCCGTACCAATTTGTATATGCGTACACATGAGGATGGTCGACAAACATTAGAACGCGACGAAATTGTGCATGTAAAAGGTTTCTCGTTAAAGGGGGATACGAAAAAAAAAATTACGTTTGATACACTAAAAAAATGTGTTGGTGATCATGGTTGCGAAATCGAAACCAGTTACACGGAATTTACGCGGTCAAATAATCAAACAATTAATGTGCAGGAGGGCAAAAAAAAATTTCGTTTTACTTTCGATAAACGCGTTGTCCTATCCGATTTTACTACGCGACCTTTTGGTTATGTTTTGTGATTTTTTTTGTAGGCCGGCGAGATACATTGTTGTACAATACCGCTTCAACACCCCTTTATGATGACGCTGTGTGGGCCAACACAATGTGGTAAAACACGTTATATAACAGACATCATAAAAAACAATGACGAACTAATTGAACCGCCTGTGGACAAATTACTTTACTTGTACACTGTATACCAACCGGCTTACGACGACATACAAAAACACATACGGGACAACGCCGCCACAAATGCACTGAAGACGTGTGAATTTGTAGATTGTTCGGGCGGGATCTTATCCCTAGATGAGGTGCGCGTAAAGTTGGGTAAAGCAACATTACTTGTTCTCGACGATTTAATGGTTGTAGCTAACGCAAATCGAACAAATCTTGAAAATTTAGATAATTTAGCGTCGCGTGACAGTCATCATACAAACACCTCCGTCATTTTTGTATGTCAAAGTTTAGCCTACGGAAATGGGCGGCTACGAAATTGTCGCGTGAATAGTCAATATCACACGGTATTTAATAGTTTGACAGACTCTAGAGATATGGAAATGATTGCTAGCAATAAAAAAATACCGTTGGCGCGTATGCGTAAGATTGTCAACGACGTCGGTAAAACACAGCATGGTTACGTGTTGTTTGACGGTTCACCCCGAGGTTACGCCAATTCGCGTATTCGTACGGGGATATTTCCACAAGATCACACTGTGGTTTATGACGTCGGTGACGAAATTAATTAATTAATTAAAGAAAACAAAAAAACGTTGTAATGTAATAAAAAATTATTTATTCAAATATGTTTCCATGTATGTTTTACATATCTGCCCCTTTGCTTTTTTACATTTTTCATTATACATATTCTCCATAGTAGGAAATGCTTTAAAGACTAATTGTTGAAGTTTCTGTTCGTTATCGATTAATTGTTCCTGCTTATCACTAAATGTTCTAATTATGTTTGTTTGTCCTTGAAAATAACAGTGTAGATAATATAAACACCACGCACCACAAGTACGCGTAATATGAGCTTGGCGTTGAGCGTTGTTTGCCATTGTTATGGAACAATTATTTGCTTTGAAAAAAGTCAACCAGTATGGGCGTTTGAAAAAAGTTGGTGTTTTTCCATAGCTGTCAAAAAATAATATATTTGAACCATCCTTAACAACGGCAACCCAATGACTACCACCCCGATTACTTTCGTCCACATTCCAAATCCAGCAGCAGCGTTCCTTTAATTTGGGCATCACGTCGGCTGCGTAGCACCCCACATAATAATGTTTTAGAACCGTATCAGCGTTACCCAACGCATCAAGATCGTCTGTTCCCAAAAATTTGCTGATAAAACACGTTAATGTTGTCATGTTGTAAATATATCGTCCACAGTATCCATCCAATCTCGAGACGCCCCTAGGATTCGTTTCTTTTTTATGGGCTTCGGCGGCACTAAGTATGGAGTAGCTGGTGGTTGCGGTCCCGCTGCATGTTGTTGTTGATGTGGCGGAGTTTGCAATAAATTTCTATATTTGTCATGTAGTATTTCGTTACGAATATAACTAGCAGGCATCCCCGTCCTCCGTAACATCGACAGAGCGTATGTTTGTTGCGTTTCACTCAAGTGCATTTTTTTCTTTTTATAATTATGCGTAAGATCTTTTACAAGGTCGTCGTAAGATATGTTTGTAACCTTGTCTTTTAGTTGCAACGTACCAGTATCCGATTCTTTTACATTACGAGCTTTAAAGTGTTTAATAATTTTATCGTGATGATACGCAACCGTTCCTACGACAGCTCCGGCAGCAGCAGCGGCGGGTGGTGCATTTGCCCCGTCACCAATAGGTGGTACAGCAGCAGCAGCTTTCTCATCTTTGTATTTACGTTTTCTTTTCATATAATTTACAATTGCCCCGCTGGCATTTCCGGGATCAGTTTTTACCGCTTTCATCATATCCCCGTGACTTTCGACCAGTTCCGCTTCTGCGGGTGTACGGGTGGCATCGGTCAGAATGTTTTGCCGTTGGGTAACTACTTCTAACATCTTCACTAGATTGTTGTACTTCTCGTGGTCTAACATCATTAGTTTTTTCACGTTGTCCCCCATTTTTTTTAGTTTCTTCTATAACATTCAAGGCGCGTCGAAAATAGATGTGCAATCTACGGTCCTCGATGAGATGTAATCGAATTTCATCTTTTGACGTGTTTTTGTGTAGTAGTTCCCGCATCAAATCTTTATCAATGTCCGCGACATTTATACCGATATCTCCCGATACAATATTTTTAACTAAGTACATTAAATTCCTGATGAGGGTTTTGTTGAGTGATTTTTCACGTTGTACAAACGGGGCGTGAAGATAACGACGTGTCGCGGGAATAAATCGTGAATCGCGTTGTTTCTGCGCACTTTTTTGCCTTGCCTCAATTAGTTGTTGCATAAATGTACGATATATTTTGTCGTCCGCGTTGCCTGCTTCGTCTTCATCGTCATCAAGATAGTCGAAATCATTGTTGTTGTCACAAACGTTGTCGTCGTTGTTGTCCTTAAAATCTTCCTCGGGATCTACGCCGTCAGCACCACCGTAGTAGTCGTAGTCGGCATCGTCAAATTCTTCAAATTCCTCATATTCTTTTTCCGAATGTTCACTTACACCATCTTGTTCTTGTTCGCCTTCTTGCGGTTGCAATGGGGGTGGCTCTTGTTTTTCGACACTCTGCGCATCGTTTTTTTCTTGATTTGTCTCAGGCATATTTTGATATTACTGGTTTGACATGCACAGTTCGTATGGCAACACCTGCACCAGGTACAATTACACCTTTAAAATTATCCGGTAATTTAACGGCGTTTTGGGCTCTTTTTTTAGGTCCGTATGTGGTGGCGTTCCTTGTGCAAGGCATGATAGAAAATGCAGTAAAGTTCAACAAGCACGACTTTAAAAAGTAAATTTACTTCGCGCAGTGCTTTGATACCCCACAGACAATTGATTACGAAAATCACCAATACATATGATTTGTGAGGGTGCTGCTATATTCGCGGTCAAGCGCATTTCCAAACCGACATTGCCGCTGGTTGTGTTGGGTAAAACACGGTTGTAACTATCCCTATTCTCTGTAAGGTCTGTTACAATCATGCCATAATCGGTCAAATAATCTGTATACGAAAAAGGCATTTCATCATTACGACGATTTAAAATACGTCGTAATTGAATGTATGCCTCACGGGAGCCTTTTAGTTCTGGCGATAACCAGGCATCATTAATTTTCACAGCAAAATGATCAAACAAGGGAAGAATCATGCGGTTTGGATTTAATGTATACGAACCATTGTAACGGGCTTGCGTTCTTACATAAACAATGAGACGTGTAGGTCGGGCCCCGTTGAAAATATCATTTAAAATAATTTTATTAACCCCTTGGGCCACGGGGGTGGGCACATAACGAAATTGCCGCACATAATATTTGCACTCTTGACCCTGTTGAATCATAAGTTGATTGATTGCACTCGTCAATTGTTGGTGGGGTTTCATAGCGGGAATAGTAAGTTTTAATTCCTCGATGTGTATAAATGCATTAGCACATTGGGCAGCCGTACCAAATAAACATTTATTTTTTTCTAACCGATCCAATTTCACTCTTATATCAAACGATGATACGACAAAACGTGTAGTGTCGCCCGTTAATTTGATTGTGTCATAACACCATAAGGGTGTTGTCTCACCACGATGACATTGATTATAACGTCGAGCGGCACCTTTATTAACTGTTCCGTCGTCGTCGTGATTGTTAAGCGTGGTGACATCGTCAAATTGTCCAGGTGTGTCATGTATTGCCAGGTCAATTACATCGGACTGTTGGTATTGTGACGGCACCTTGTCCAACAGATGACACACGTAATTTAGCTCATTTTCTTGAGTGGTTACCGTGTTGGTTTGATCGTTGTTAATCAAAACACTTTTACTCTTCCAAAACTGTGTTAAGGGTAACATGTGTAACGCAACATTTTGATCTGCTGCAACGTTGTTGCCATCAGCTTGTTTCACCGTAATCTTACCCGATATTATTGCATCTTGCAAATTTAAGACACCATATTCTTGTTTATGATGTAAAAATGTAACCGTTTCTGACGTGGGATTGTCTTGAGGACTCGCCCGTATTTCAATACTACGGTTATCAATGAATGTGTCATTGTGGGGAAAGGGCTTAAACATACCCATGGGTATCATAAACCCACTATCATGTTCCTCCAGGGGTTGCTCGGCGGTCTCTGTTCGTGTACGCTTCATCGTGTTAGAGTGGCAAGTGTTGTAAAAAATATGACACACAGATAGTTATATAATAATTTTTATTGTTTGACATAAAATTAAGTGTAAAATATATATATTAACGACGTCCCGTACGTCTTATTGTTTTTCTTGCTGTTCTTCGATAATTGTATTGGGGTGCATAATATTGTTGTCTGGGTTGTGGACGTAGTCGATATTGTGTTTGCGGCTGTGGTCGATATTGGGGTCGGGGTTGTGGTCGATATTGGGGTCGTGGTCGATATTGGGGTTGTGGTCGATATTGGGGTTGTGGTCGATATTGGGGTCGTGGTTGATAATATTGTGGCGGTGGTGCTCGATACTGTTGTTGTTGTTGGCGCGGTCCATAATTATTTGTTACTGGCGCAGGTTTTCGTTTTCCGAATATCGCCGGTAATATTTTAGTAGCCGCGCCAAGAATCGCTGGAGCTAACATACCCATTGCTAATGCGGGGAAAGCACCCCCTTGTTGTCTACGACGCCCCATTAACGTTTAAATATTTGTCTTAAAACTTGGGGATTTACTTGTGGTTGTCCTGAGGTTCGACCCCTATCTCTGGGTACTACTTTTCCTGTTCGCCGAAATTTCGGATCCGGTAAATAATTCGGATTCAATTGCGGTGGTGGGCACACGTTTGTGGTTGCACGCTCTTCGATCGTTTTACCCGTATTGTTTAATATCACCAAGTCCGAGTCTTTATATTGAGAACCCGCACCGTGTAAAAGTTTAATATATTGTTCCACTGTACACATCTTGAATGCTGGCATGAAAATAAACATCATGAGGGTTTATCATATATATTTAAACTCGCAATAATGATCTTCCCATCGTAGTTTTGAATAAAATCAGCACTTCCGTCACCCCATTGTATTTCAAAATGAACTGTCTCTTTTAATTGATCTAAATCTTTAACCAACATAAATCTTTCAAGTTTTCGACGTGTGATAAAAGTAGAGCGTTCAATATCCGCACTGTTTGAAAAATCAAACAGTTTATATCGCGGCCAACCAAAACATTGTAACGCATTATTCCTCATGGTTACATTTGCTAGACCCCTTGTAGCTGTAAGAGTATTTTTGCCATAAACAGTTGTGACTGTTTTTGTTTGCCCATCTGTCATACCGCTATAATCTGCTTTACGTAAGTACCATACCGATGCAGGAAAGTTATAGACAATGTTCGTTTGTAGTGTGGCCTTACTGCAGTATTTTGTATTTGTCGTTAGGTGTGCAAACGAACGATCCACATTAACCAAATCGTACGATGTAGGTATCAACTGCTTGTTTTTTATCTCCCAACGTATTTGCATCATTTTTTATTCGATAACACACTCTAACCCAAACGTGCCCGCACTAAACTGTATTAGGTTATAATTGGTGTCACAGACTTTTATATGCAATTTGTCAATTTGTGAACGTGTAAATTTCACCGTTGTTTCGGGACATGTATACGTATATAAATTAGCGCTACCCATATCGCCCGTTTCAATTTTAAGTACGGCTAATAATTTTCCATACACATTACCTACCATGGACGCTACAACTTCGTCACAATAAACAAACATGCGTGTTAAACCGTTTGTCATGTCGGGTAAATGTGCGCCGTAAAATGTACCCAAAGCAGGATCGTAGGACTCGGGCGTAGCACCATCCATTTTCATAAATACGGTGTTCGTTATCAATTCCAAAGGTGATAGCGGGGGGGTATTGTCATAGAAATAATTTTCTTTATACCAGGCAACTGTTGGGTGAAGTACCCAGTCGTCAAGACCCAACATATATTGTAAATTTTTTGTAAAGTCTAATTTGATATAGGACCCCACGGGTTTTAAACCCTTTGTTTTGACCACCTTGCCAGTGTTATATTGATGTAAAAAACTAACACCCCCTATATTTAGGGTAACCCCCACTCGTTTAGAGGGTAATTCCGTCAAGTACATACCGTATTCATTTACATACGCGTTAAGGACTTGCAATAATTTATCAAGCGTATAATGTCCCGAGGGTACATACAACCACCCCGTATCAAAGGACACACTTTCGGTGGGTTTTCTATTCACATGTGTGGGGAGATCTTCATCAAAATATCGAAATATACTCCAAATGTACTGTATGCGAATACCGCACGATTCTTTCGAAACATTTTCGATGGTCAACGGGTACGTCACATTAAGCACACGCAATGTTTTTTGCTGGTTTTCAGCATCTATTTTTTCGGGCAAGCTCATTACAAATTGATTATTATAATTTACTCCCCCAACAGAGTTGGGAGCATTACTGAAGATTTTCAAATTCATTTTAATAATGTTTGTAATTCTTGACGATAAAATATACCACCAATATCTTCTCCTTTACTGTCTCGTAATTTGTAGGTTACAGGATCGGTAATGTACACTTTATAAATAACAAATATTTCTTTCACCCAACGACGTAAACTAGACTTCTCAAATGTGTTGTTTTTGACACGCGCTATGCGTACGCGCGTTCCCTTGCGTAATAAATCGGTCGTGGGTTGTGTGTGCGTATTTAAGTCTCTTTTTATAAGTTGAAATTGAAAATTTTTAGGAACTTTTTGATGTACATACAAATCAACGGGACGGGCACCGAAAATCCCGCGATTTGGTGACTCGTTATAACGTTCCAATATTGCGGGTAGATATTTGATATAACGATACCCCAAATTCAAAGTGGTTAAAGAGGACATAATCATTTGCTTAAACGTGCGAATAAAACGTTCGGCATGCACGGCTTTTGTTTCGCGATTTTGCGTGTGAAAAAGAGTAAAGTCTTTTTTTATCAGATTAAACTCTGTACCCTCGTCAGCCTGAATTTTTTTGGGTGCTTCGCCCGCCTCATTTATGATTTGTTCAAATTTTTTACGCACATTATTAGCACTTTTATTTTTCAAGGGTCTTACAAACGCGTAGCGTGTGGCAATATCAACACATACAAGAAGATAACGATATTGATCATTGTAACCCAATAATGATTTTAGATCTGCTAAATCTATACTCCATTGTTCATTACGATTATCAATATGTATTTTTAAGCGCTTAAAATGTATACGTCTTTGCGCATGTAATCTGTACGCATCGTGTTGTTCGGTAGTTAAATGTTCGCCTTTTAATAATCTTGCGGCTTTCTTGATTAAAGCGGCATCAATGTCTTTGGATTTCTTCTTCTTCTTGACCATCACTGAAAATTTAAACCAAGTCCATGTTTAACTTTTTGAAAACCTTATTTATAACATCTTCACGAGTTGCGGCAAAGTTTACAAAATCAACATCGGGCATGATCTTATGTAGATCTTGGAGGTGTTCTTTCACAACAATTCCCACCACCGACGTGTTATACTCTATCATACACGAGACCAGGGCGGCAATTATTTCTTTTTCTCGACGCTAAAATAGTCAAGTATTAATAGTACCAATTATTTTACTTTTTTTGAATTTTTCGGGATGTGTTATTTTTAACTTTCGAACCAAATTTTCCATAGCATTTTTAAATTCGGATGAAAGCATCATTTCCCGCATATACATACGTTGTTGTTCAGGCGAAATTGTATTGTTTCGGGTGTCAAAATACATGTGGCAGTCATCGGAATCAGAATCGGAATCAACAGAAATCACACTCACCTCGTCGCTCCACTCGCTGTCTGACTCGACAATTGTTGGCTTCTTTTTCTTGGTAATTTTCTTGTCACCACCACTAGCCGGTTGTTTTCTCTTTACCGGTGACGATTTTCCTGCTTTTTTCCCGGGTTTGGCCGGTGTTGGAGGTACCTTGCGGGGAGACGTTCTAACGCTCGTGGATGTGGATGGTGGTTCAGCTGTGGCGGGTTCTGCGCCGTTGTCATTCCATACGGTGGTTATATCGTGCCAGAAATCACGAAGTTTCTTGGCGAAAAGACTCCAGTCTTCATTCTTGCTGATAAAAAATTTTTCAAAACATTCTGACCATTCCTCTTGAAGCTCATCCACAGGACTTTCGGCCAGGGGTGCGGGATCTGGATTGTCGTCGTCGATGGTGAAAGAATCTGGAAGACCCACTTTTTTCAATTTACATAACATGAGACCACCATACTCGCTACCTTTCAGAACCAACTTCAGAACATCGCCTGTGTACGTTGTGGATTCGCCCAATTCAAAATAATTAATACTGCCCGGTTGCTTTGAACATTTGGGCAGAGCTTCAAGCACCTGTTCCAATTCTTCTAATGAAATCTCAACAACTGTTTTACAACAGAATTTCTGCGTACTACCGACGGACATTTTGCCCGACGCTAGCCCAATTTTTTTGAATCGGTTAACAAAAATCATTTTTGTGGTTGCGTTTGCAGCCTGACCATATTGGCCTAACACCGCAGACAAATCGGTATTATATTTTTTATAAACCTCAACCATTTTTTCTTACGTCTGAACACTTGCAAGGGAAGAAAAAAAGTGATACATTTGACTTCACAGCACATTATATTTATACAAAAACCACAATGTTATAATACCCCCCGAAAGTAAAGTTAGCAATGTTGTTTTAGCAATACGTTCCTTAATAGCGGCAAGAATGTGTAACGTTAACTGTGTAATTTTGTCCATATATAGGTATTTACGCGCTTGTGACGAAAATAACAAGGAATTTTTATTGCACAACATACATGCCACGGCTAAAATAAATATGCCATGTGACATATCACGATAACAATATTCTTCATCGTCCAATAATATTAACATTACATCGCATAATTTTGGAAAAGAGACGTTTCCAACTAGATTTTCAATTCTCCCCCTCTGACCATTTATACATTGTTGAATGCGGTCGTAAAATTCATCTGTCACATAACTATCTTTGGGTAGGTCGCTGTAACCGTACCATCGTTTTACACACCATAAATTATAATCTCTGTGTAATGTGTACGGGTTGGTGGGTACATCATTGTCCACGTCCTCAAAATACGAATAAACCTCACACATCAAAAAAACGTCCAACAAATGTTCTTTTAACTCGTGAAAATATTATAAATTTAAACACGGATTTGTCCAGATAATAACCTCGTTCAAACCACCATTTTATTATTCTTTGTTTATGTTCAACAAAACTATCGCTACGAAACTGTACTGCTTGTTTGTAAAGTCTAGCCGTTAAATCACGTAAAACAATCCACGCACTCGGCGTGTGCGTTACATATCCCTCTGCAAATCCTGCGGGAACCAGATAATAAACACGTTGCTGTTCACCGTTCCAATCGGTATAACCCACCTCACTCCAACGCATGGGTAAATAACGTATGTCCCCACGTCCAAATTCTCGCAAAGCAATACACCAATTACCCATATATTTAACCATTTTTACAAAACATTCACATCTATATACATGACCACGGGATATAATACTTAAAGGTTTTGTACTCAACAGAGTATGTTTTAAGCTAACTGTTAGTGCAGCTGTCATGATAGCATGCGTTACGTGTAAAGAATAAAAACTGCAATACACTCTTGTCTAATAGCGTACCCTTTAGACCACAAAAAAAATTAAAAATTTCAAATAAACTATGTTTTGACTTTTGTTCCATGATTAAATCTTGTAAAAAACCAACATAGAATAAATTCGGTCTTTCATATAACTCATATAACCGTTTGGAGCAATTTTTAGAAAAATTGTCACGACTATCCATTGCCAACACGATAGTCCCCATAAATATACGAAGATTATACTGGTTGATCATATAAAAACTATATCGATACTCTGTATGACCAAAGTAACACCACGTAGCAGCGTCGGTAGCCATTAGTTTTTTCTCCACTTTTTTTAATTGTCCCTTATAATGAAATGTTGTCGTATGCTCCCCAATATGTCTGATCATTGCCGTCCGCGTGAAAACGTTGCCAGCCATTTTTGCATATCACCTATTAATGGCGAAGGTATATAAACTTTACTCTCTTCGACCAAAAACTGCGCAAACTGATCGTGGTTACAATGCGACAAATACACGCGGTGGTCTCTCAACTTTGTGGTCATAGAGCATGCGTAATGATGAGGACGGAGCGTACGGTCCCAATGATCCAAATACTGGTGAAAATAAGCAAAAGTTAGCCTGGGATTACAAAGTTGGTTACGACGGTATTCATATGTCAGATCGTAGTCTATACCCCCTTCGAAACGTGCGCGTAAAATCATATCAACACCTACAAATCTAACATCCGTTATTATAAAACGCATGCGTATACACTTCCCATTACAAACGACAACAGTTCGTAGACGATTCATGATGCAAAGTGGTGGTAACTTTAAGGGGGGTAAACATCAACGAAGTAAATCCAAAAAACAAGACGGGGGGATACTACCCTGGTTAATTTATGCGGGGGTGCGAAACAAAAAAAAAAGACAAGCAGCTCGAAGAAGAAGAGCTATGCAAAGAAGAGAAGCAAATAGATCAATGAGGCGGGATAAACAAATGATGCGGGAACTACGGCAACGCGGGCTCTACAGGCGCGCCATGACAAGGAACGAGGGCCGCTGCTTGCTGGAAAAACCTTATACCCCTCGAAATTACTACCCACAACGTACACGTAATTTCTATATTAACGTTAATAATAGTTCTAGAAGTTCGCAGGTAAGCGTGGCAAAACCCCCACAAACCCAAAAACAAATTCAAAAAGTACCGTTACGAAGACAAATTCAAAAACCACGCTACCCGCTACAAGGTCGTATTCAACAGCAACCCCGATACATGGCACAGCCACAACGCAAACAACTGGGTGGTATTGTTGCCGGTGAACACGAATTGGCAAGAAAAGCAAGATACAACGACATGCTAACAGCATATTACGCAGAAAAAAGTAATTCTTTTTTTTAATAAAAATTCAAAATATCAGTTTTAAATACAGTACAATTTTTATCCCCACATATATAACCCAACTGTCCATTTTTATAATTACTATCATATTTAAATTTTAAGCGTCCAGGTTTATCACAAACCTTTTGCGCTTTGTTTGGAAACGCTAAATATGCGTGATCCAACAATGAATCACGCGTCATTTGAACATGCATGTGTGTGATTGAATCGTGTTCTGCAAACCAATATCCACAATACGTATCTTTGTCAGCGTCGGGACAAATATAAAAATTATCCTTTAAAATACATGTTTTGTGACACCGACAGCGAATTCCCCGTAAATTTAAAGCGTTCCTTTCCAACGTGCTCTGATGCAACTGACACACTCCCAGACAACAAACGTAAAACAATTGCAGCCCCAACCCTTCTACAGCTTCTATGGAATAGCCCGCAACTTTATCACAATCACACAGCGTAGTCTCACAGTCGATTAGATAGTCTTCACTGTGGGTTAAAATAGTTTTTTGTTGTTGAAAATTCTCAGCAAAAGCATTTAAATTGTACCCGCATCTACGTTTTGCACACCGATAATACACCTGCCACACATCTCCAATTAATTCGCCTTCCAAATTAACTTGTTGTTCACACACGCAACGAATATCCCAACACGTGACCAATACACGGGCCGTATGTTCGGGGGGGTTTAACCATTTTTTACATGTCGCACATGTACACATATATGTTGTTGTAGCCATAACCAAAGATTTTCTCGATGCTCGTTTGTTAGTTGCAAATGTGTGTCTGTGACCAAATCACGATATGCTTGTATTAATAAACGCTCTTCTAGTTTCATACACCCTGTACAGATATTTTCAGACCCAAATATTGCGCGTTGAGGATTAGTACAAAAACATGTTATAAATGGGCTTTGGGGGATATTCATTTTTGATTTTTGATTTTTACCGCCTGCTAAAAAGCAAGGCGAAATTAAAAATTGATTTTGCATAGTTTTAGCTGTCAACTTTCCAATGTCAAAAAATGATGCAAACCTGTACGCACACGGTTTTATTTATACACTACAAACAACCATTTTTGACCATATATGGTTAAAATTACACACCCATACATTTATCTTTTATAAAGGACGTTGAAAATTAAAGTTTGAAAAAATGTCTAGACAGTGGTGTACATACGAGGGTTGTTCTTGCGAACCAGATTGCAGCGCATGCCTACTTGCTAACGAAGAATATCGTAAAACACACACGCGTCATCACGCAGAAAAAGAAAGATCCAAGGCAACGAAAAGTCATCACGCAGAAAAAGAAATATCCAAGGCAGCGCATCCGTGGAAAAGTAGTCAAGATCATTGGGAACAACGAAGAGAGTATTTTGAAAAACAACGTCTAAAACCTCAGACCGAGTATGTCTACTGTTTCCAAAACATGCAGCGACAAAACCGAAGATGTTGTAACCAATGTTACAAACTTACAGAAAACTGAAACTGTGCGCAGAGAAAAAAAAACTATTTTTATTTTTAACAATCTATTTTTTTCATTATCAGTAGAAACATACGAACAAAAAATAGTAGATATGGTTAACATAACAGGAAAAATTGTAAAATTTAGTGTTTCCTCTATCGTATTAATAGCTATAATCTATCTGTTAGAACAAGTCTTCTATATCATATTAAAAAATTATTGATTTTTACAATTACCACCGAATAGACTTAAAGTCATATCCTCACAAGGGGTCGAGACGTGTTCGCAAGGTTGGTCAGGATCGTTTCCACAAATGTCACAATAGTATAACCCCTCCGGATTAGGGTAAAACCATGTTTTTTTCTCTGAAACCACAATCTTCCCCCCTACTGCCACCGTCTCATCATCATCATCATCATCATCGTCATCGTCATCATCATCATCGTCATCGTCATCGTCATCATCATCATCATCATCATCATCCTCGTTCATACAACCCTCTTGCTCTCTACAATACAACCAATATTCGAGCGGGGTCATCGTCTCTGCAAATTCACAATCTTCATATGCCCTCAATCTTGCCAGCCTATGATGATCTTCAGATTTTACGTATTCTAGCAATTTCTCCTCATCAGCATCCTCATTCTCAGCAATCAACAACTTCAATTTTGCAAATTGCTCGGCGGTCAGATCACATATGGCATCGTGATGATCATCAAATGTCGACACCCCTCTACATTGTTCACAGGCATGTTTCCTCTCAGGGTGGATCCCCACGCCGTCTACGCATACCTCATCCTCGTTACAACGTTTGCCAGCCATCCCCAAATATATTGAGCGCTTCAAAAATTATTATAGAAAAGAGTATGCTAGCAACCAAGACCATACAACCAATAAATGCCATAAAAGCAATCATTTTGTACCCTTTTATTTATTTATTTATTTGTGCTTTTATAATATTATCCCTCAACCTTTTTGACCATATATGGCAAAATCAAACTGTTTAAAAACGCACAACACGCACACACACACAAAAAAAACATAACTTTAATATGGCGAGTTCAACACCGCTAACGTTGGTAGGTGCAACCCATACACACTTGGATTTTACAAATGAACGATATGTAATTTACAATGCCGCAAAACGCACATATAGTATATATCTTATGAGCCAGGAAGGAAAACCACCGCTTTGGCCCGGTGACAATGTTTTTTTACGCTGTGAGCCAACACATTGTGAAGGTTGTGAATATCAAGGCGTATTAAAACCAGGACAAAGCATTCTTTTGATGGGGCGATTACCCTATGATTGTTGTGCAAAGGAACATCATCGCTGTTACACAATTATGTCGCCTACTTGGACACGGCATCAGCTAGAACATTGTCAGGGGACGGGTGTATACATTCAGTTAATCTAAAGGTTAGTCATTTTTACACCCTTATTCAACATGTCAAGACACCCTATGGTCACTCGTAGTCAAACAAAAAAAAGTGTATGGGCCTCTGATAGCTCTACGAATTATAAAGCGTGCCATCATGCAGGCGATTTAACATCGTATCACGATGAGGACCGAGCAGTCATAAAATTGGGTGGTATTACACACAATTATCTGTATAACAAGGGTGACATATCCGTACCCTTCTATCTACTACCCGAATATCACGACCCACTTCAGAACCCCGTCGACGGTCTGGGAATTATAACCCTCGTCGAAAAATCTACATTTTTCTTAATGCTGAACCCCGGCGAATTTGCTTTCATAAACAAGGTAATTTTAAACTAACTTAAAAAAATCTAATGTCTTTCAAACCAACTAAATCTCTCTCTCTCTTTTTCTTAGGAATTTGCCCGCACACCAGACGCCGCGAATAAAGAAAATTGGTCAAGAATCGCACGCAAAATATCTGTACAAGACTGGAACAATGCACAAACAACGTCAAAAGTTAGAAAATATATAATAAAGGATCAAACTGACAATCTTATTGTAACTACAACGTAAAAATTTACAAGAAAATAAAAATTTTTTAATCTTCTAAAAGTAATATATAATCCAACAAATTATCCACGCACGCATATTTATCACCCGTCATCATTATGCTTTGTCGCAATTGTTTAGCATCTTCGGGATTTATGCACATTCTTGCACCCGTCTCTTGCCAACGATAATCAAATGTCACAAGCGGTGCGTCATCTTGGTTTTTAAAAGTCGCAAAACATATCTTACTGCGAGCCACCAAGAATATACTCTTCCAATCATACCAGGTTTGCAGCGGCTTATAAAGTAAGTGTTCCCCAAATTGAGTCACGCATTCCCGATGCGCCTTTTCCATCACACCCCAATCATTCCGCATTAGCACGGGAACCGCTGTAAGCCATTTATGCTCATCAACACCGATCGGAGGTATTTGGTTTACACGTAGCCACATATAACGCGCAACTATATGTACGAATAATTCATTCTGTGCATCTACATTACCCGACCAATTTTTTGGGCGACTCAAAATACTCGTCATCCTCACGTTTTCTTTTCAAATCTCTCCTACCCGATAAAATAAACTGTTGTGGTAGAATACCGATAACCTGAAAATGTGTAATAAATAAATACACGTGCGCAGCTATAGCATAAGATTCGTGTCTCGTAAAATACTCCCAAAATCTACGCACATAAATCTCCTGCACACAAAAACCATCTGTTGAAAATATTAAATCTCCACCCACGATACATTCCAGAGCTTGTTTAAATTCCGCAGCTGTTACTGTTTTAGCATATATCACAACGTCGTGATTTGTATAAAATTTTAACCCTGGCATTTTTGACCATATATGGGATATGAAAACGTATAAAATTACGCTCGAGAAGATCTAGAAAACAAAAAGAGAACAAGCTAAGTCAGGGAAAAAAGCAAGAAAAAAACAAAAAACTCAAGGTATGGATCTCACTAAAGAAATCAAAGTGTTTCAAAGCGAATGCTGTAATGGGTGGCATTGTAAACATGAAGATTGCTTTGTAGGCGAGCCCGAAGAAAAACCGGAGGGTCCCGATATACGACAGTTTTGCGGGCATTGTAAAATGGGGATTTATCATTTCTCCCAACAAAACAAACGAATAGAACGTGAAACAAAAGCAAAACACACCGAAGAAGGACCGCAATTTATGTATACGGGCTACCAGTATTGTGATGGGCAATACAAATATGAGTATGTAAATACGGGTGAAATCTTTGGGTCCATAACAGAACCCGTCGACGATCTCACGATAAATCAGATCGGGTTACAATGGCTAGCTCAACGTCCGTGCGGTGTGGAGGTGTTGGTCGTCCCGGAGAAAATAAAAGAGGACGGTGAAAAAAAAAACAAACAAACAAAAATTGACAAATTTCTCAAATAACTAACCTTTTACGCTTTGTAACTCTACCAGATAAAATATAAGAGGGATATTTTGGTCTTTTATCGCTTGTTTTTCGTATACGATGATAATGTTCAATATTTACCCCCGTTTCCCGCTCAAATGTCGTACAGGCAACTGTCAATTTGTCCTTGACCTCACACAAAATACCGTGTGTACTCATAGGAAGATATTTATGTTCGGCCAATATGATGCCGTATGAAGGAACTTGCACCAATTCCATGACCATCTTTGAAATTTGCAAACACAATATTTCATAAATTTTTTGATCATGACGTGTATCCCAGGGTATAACACCCTTGCTGACCAATTTATAAACTAAAGCAGTCAAATCCCATTTAAATTCACTATCAACTTCATCTTTACTATGTTGTATAAACTCCGCTTCCAACCATTGTTTCACATACATTTCCCACAGAGACATCTTTTAAAAAAAAACAAACGACACTTCAAAGACTTTGTCAAAATGAATTATAAAACTTGTTTTACATTTGTTTTATACATTATTAACACTCAGTAAAGCCTCTGACAAAAATATAGTATGTGTAGTTCCCAATTTAGATAGTTCTAACGCTTCAGCCTTTGTCACTTTGGTTGCAAATACGTCGGCGGGCATCATTTCTTTTGCAGGTCTAAAATATAAAAACGCCATAAACAAAACATTTCTTAAAAAAAATAAAAAATAAAATAATTTCTTACCCCAACAAACGCATAATTTCCCCGGGAAAAATCAAACCCAAACATGTAAAGGGCATGTCAGCAACGACGAAATTCAATGCGTGATCATAGTAAGTTTTCTCTTGCATGTGAAAAGCATCCACTAAATCTTCACTATTACTCGCCGCAAAAGCACAAAAAGTTTTTGACGTATCATTTTCGTAACATACATACTGTACATAGGGTGGTACCGTGCCACAATGCATTTTGAAAATTTTAAAAAACCTTTGAAAAAAAACAACGTTTTTAACAAACCCTGCGTGGCAATTTTAACCAAATAAGGTCAAAAATGAAGTCGACAACAAAGCCCTTTTTGACCAAATAAGGTTAAAAATGTTGTTTTTTTTTTTTTAATAGCATGTGTGACAAGCCCAACGGGTGGACCGGAACCGTCGAAGATCAGCAGGAATTATTTATCAATATTCTATCCTATCTAACCTGCGAACAGCTATTGAATCGAAATAGGCGTTGTATGGATCTGCACATGTTCCAACGTCATGCAGATGAATTGATCAACACAAATTGGGAAAAAACTAAAATATATTTTCATCAATTTCTGGCTTATTGGAGAATTGATTATAAACGCAAAAGCGGTGTAGACAACTCGGCAATCCTCAAAGAGTTCGACCCAGCCAAGCTTTACTCAATACATATCAGAAGTATGTGCCCGAATGGTAAAGTAAAACCCTACGGCGAAGTGTGTGAACACATTAAAATGATGGTAGAATGTAAACTCAACAATGTAGTGTAAACTTACTTACATTAAATCACTGCACTGTATAACAATGTTCCCATTTATGTGGTTGTCTTTGCGCACCCTCAAATTGTTCCTTCGTAACTTTAATAGCCATGCGATTTAACCTGACTTTACCAATACAATTTTCAGTCAACACACGCATATATTCACCTTGCTGCAAATCAAACAAATAATGCGGTTCCGACAAATCGCTACATTGTATCAATATAGCAGGCTGTTGGATGTGTGCGTTTCGCCGACCCGCCACCACGCGCTGCACGCAACCCGTATCATTACAAACATACACAATTTTTGCTTCACCAACAGTATATATTTTAACATTACTACTCAAACCCTCCGCCACACCGGCCATCGTATACTAATACAAAAAACTACTAATATTCTATCTTATAGTCTCAACAGTCTCAGTTTCCACGCGTAGTTCTAGTTCAAGCGTCTCAAATTCTGTCTGCGTCACAGCCAGATTCTCCATTGCAGTTTCATAACGGGCTGCAACATCCAGCAAATGTTCATCGAGCGCCCTCTTCCAGCCACTGCGCATCTCCTCCTTTTCCCGCAAGCCAGCCTCCCAAGCATCCTCGAACCACTTGTTGTCCTCGGAAAACTGAAAATCTTCATCTTCGTCATCGAACCAATCGTCATCGTCGTTGTATGCCAATGTAGAACTCTCACCCTCGAACAAAACTTTGGCCTCTTTACATTTCGGACACTCGGCACACTCGTAGTTCAACTTGGCGTAGTTGTCTTGTCGGTTTAATTCCATTTTGTTAATTTTCGTTTTGCTTTTGTGAACAAAATTCAGCGTTTGAGGAAACACTCGCGACGAATGCTTTTTAAGCACAAATTTCCAGGTGGAAGCTTTTATCTTTTCTTTTTTCCCTTAACTTTTCTATACACTCTCGGAAGCTGTTTTAAAGTTTCCCAATTGAAACCCGCACCACCCGCACCGCGTTGTTTTTTTGGTTTGTAGGGATTTTGACTTTTATATTTTGTCCTTTTCGATAGTTCATGATCCAATATAATACCCCAGATACCACCATCCTGTTTCTTACTACGTTGATGTTTTTTCCCATTAAAGTTACCGCCACTTTGTTTTTTCGACTTCATCGCTACAACGTTGCCCTTGCTATGACAACCAATTATCAAAATATAATCTTTTATACTTTCCACGGTGTTGGCGAATATACAATTTTCCTAGCCTTTTCAAGTATTTCCGTTTCAACACCACAACGACATGTAACGTGCAGGAACTTTATAAATTCGTCCAAAATAGGTTGTTCACCGGACGTGCCCAATTTTTCCGCCGTATACAAGTAATGAGAGATATCAAGTTTATTCCGTTCCAAGGGTTCAATTAACTCCGGCCACAATTGCCACGACGTTAAATAACCATCGCCCAATTTTTGTTGAAATGATAAAAATGCGTCCGAATTACGCATAATAATCAGATCTTTTGCACGTTTTTCCTCAAACAACACCGATAAACGATCCCATTCAACCTCACATTTTAATTTTTTATCCATCTCTCACGACAGCCTAACACCAATAACACCAACCCTGTTGAGAACACTGACAAAACCGGCTTGTCACAGGTTTTTTATTATCCCTATCTCGTTTCCTTTGCTCCTCTATTTTTATATCTAATTCACGAATCATATTGCACATAAAACACTTGCAATTACACGTGCAATTGTCCTCCTCGCAAGTACACGTGCACTCCATAGCAAAACCAAACATAAAATGATATAGTCTGACACAGGACCCGCTAATGGAACTAACTTAGGTGGGAATCGAACCCACTTTGACTTGGGACTTTTACTCCCCAACGCGTTGCCATTCCGCCACACCGCCTACCATTTAAGCGAACCCTGTTGGCAGACAATACAACTACAATGAATTTGGTTTTTATCTACCTTTTACTCCACGCGGCCCATTATTACGGTTAGCACCAAAGAAAATAATAACACCAGGGTTGAGCTTTTCTTTCTCCACCACGTCTCTTCATGTCCCTCATTTGTCTATCTAATTCACGAAGTAATAGACATGTCTCACACTTGCAACCGCAACGACCATCTTTGCAATCACACGTACACACCATCCTCCCCAGCAAATAAAATATAGTCTGACGCCGAACACAACAAGTAGCGTCTTATAACCCGACCTACTATCAACAAGTAGCGCTTATGACCCGACCTACTATCATATTCGGGCGGCAGACAAACTACTAGTATCACTTTTGATTTTTAACTACCTTACACTTGTCCTGTACAATAATTAGGGTATTTTCTACTTTTGAACGATTGAAAAGAATAAGTGGGTTGAAAGGTTAAAATAAGCTCCGCCCCTTGTAACATTAATAAAGTCGCGCGCCAAATTCGAAAGCGCTCAGTGCGGTCGACCACGGCTTCGGAGAAGCATCTCGGCCGCGCATGCGCAACACGAAACACACAGGCGCACGGCGCACGTCGCCCGACCACGCCCAGGACCACACCCAAAAAAAAGTCCCCCCCGTCCGGGGACACTTTTTTCAAGGATTTTTCAGAGATCACCCGACTCTTTTACAATACTATCTTATAGTAAAATGAAAAAATTCCCACACCCCCCAAAAAAAATCGAGTACTTTTATGGGTATACTACTAACGTCATCCATTTCTCTCATGGCTTGCCCGCGCAAGATAAAAGCGCATTTCTGCAAAAGCGTATTGAAGCTTCGACGCGAGCGAAGGAATTAGGACATTTGAACGACCATCAATGATGTGAAATCCACAAACTCTCTTCACCGCCGCGACGATACTGTCAAACTTGTTCGGTTTTATATAATCTGACAACTGCGCGGCTGTTCGCGACACGCGAGCGAAGGAGCGAAGGAATTAGGACATTTGAACGACCATCAATGATGTGAAATCCACAAACTCTCTTCACCGCTGCGACGATACTGTCAAACTTGTTCGGTTTTATATAATCCGACAACTGCGCGGCTGTTGTATCCTGCCCATATGACGTGCACGCGCACGTGAACAATAAATAACTTCGTTTTTGGACTTTAGTTGTTGTCTTTTCAATTTTTCACTATCAACGTCGATCGCAGTTGCCACATTTTCCTCAAATGATGCATATTCATACTCGATCTATTTTGCCTTTTGCCTCACTATTGACTGTATGTATTTATAGGAGAAACTGCTAGCTCTTCAAAACTGGTGTTCATTACTTCTCTTGCAGCCTCTTTGGTTACATCTCGTTCAAATTATGTTATTTCACGGTTATTTTCTTAATTTCCTTCTTCATCTCTGACTTTCTGAAAACAATTTACATGCCATCGCTGATACGAATCCGGTACGAATAATTCTATGGCATTATTGCAATCTTATCACTGGATCGAGGTAGAATGCTGTACATGAAAAGGTGATTTTGCCTGCTATTTGTTGCTTTCAAATTTATTTTTGGTCGTGCGATACCGAGCCAAATAAAAACGTGCCCGCGGTTCAAATGAACTTCCAAATACTTCATGTAAGACAAAATAAAGTCTATCAAAAGGATTTGTTGCTTTCTTGGGATTTTCATACAAACAATCGTGCAAAATTGAGCGATAAACAAAAATGTTGCCATGGTAACTAACCTTTGATTTAGCACAGGGTAATTTATAAGCCTTTAAAAAATGTTAAGGATTTAGAATTTAAAAAAACCCTGTTTGGCCATATGTTAGTTGAGTACTTAAGTCCGCAAATATGATGAAAATTTTCATTTTTTTCGAAGTTAATGAGTTAATATCTTATCATTTTTATACTAATTAGCTTAACACAATCCGAGCTTAATATTGTGTTTATTTGTAAGTGGGACAGTGTTGTCGCTATATATATGAAAGACACATATTGTTATGAGTATATCTTTTGTTAAGAAGCCATATAATGTTCATAAGTAAGCATTTTAATGCTGACCTTACAATTTTGAACCCTTGCTCAATACCTCTTACCCTGCCCACCGTCCCCCGGTATATAGTCTTGCGAGTCATCATAATATTAAATTACAAGTATCTTAACATTCACCTAACCTTCTGCTTTGGTCGCGGACGTGTTACTGTAGCAATAGCTCTTCTGCACTAAAGTGCAGGTGAGCTAGAAACAACAACAACATTAGTAAAAGCCTTGAAGATGGGGCTGTAATAGTTTTATACCTGTTTATGATAGTGGAATTTTAATAATAATGTTAATCAAATGTTTAGTTTTATCATTGAATTTACTGTACAATCAATTTAACTGGAGAAGATGTATCAGACCAAATTGAGTCACCCAACAATGTAGAACTAGTTCATGGGCTATCATATCTTGATTTTGCTTCTTTCATACACACACAATTTCAATTTACGGTCCCCGACACAAAAAGGGTCGACCTCTGACAAACACACTACACTGTTTGCATACTAAAGGCCCGGTCACACTACACAACGATAACGATACGATAAATTGTAAACACGCGATAATTGTCAAAAAAAATGTATTAGTGTCCACACAACAACGAAAATGGTAAAATTATCGTTAGACGATAACGATAACGATTTTAAAATCGCTCACCTGAGCGATTTTTTTTTTTCAGTCGGACGATAACGATAAATTTTTGACCAATCAGCGCGCGTATACAAGTTATCGTATCGTTATCGTTGTGTAGTGTGACCTGGGCTTAATAGAAATACTTGCATGCAACAACCCCTCGCTTATATTCTCCAAACATTGTCTCAACATGAAGTATTCGTAATTACGCCAACATTGAACGCAGGCTCGTGTTGCTCACGTCATGTTAGTCATGGCAACACGATAATTGTTTTATAAATTTTTTTGTGTCAACCTGCAAACAGTAGACGAAACTTGAACACTTTTAAGTACCGAACTATCAATTTCTAAAATATATAAAGTAGGTATTTGATTTTGGTTTCTATGTGCTTTATTTTAATGTAAAATTGAAAACGAAACTCTACGTAAAACGTTTTTGCATGTGAATTGAGATTAACTGCTTTTTGCCTATCACGATAAATTGAGCTCAACTTAGTGCTCGCAATTTGAAATGAAATAAATTTAATTCGTACAGAACGCTAATGAAAATAATATGCTTTTCTTTTTCTCATGAACTTCCACAAAAATTAATTTAACTATGAAACTTTGGCATACAATGCATAGGAAAGACTTGAACAACAAGAACAAAGTATATAATATTAATACAAAGCCGTACAAAAACAATTGAAACAAACTTGCCCAACAGGCTAAATTTAGGATTTCTCATACTAAATCAATTCTTATAAATGTTTACGTTTAAAAATTGAAAAAAGTTCTATAATGTGTTATGTGAAATGATTTTCCAACCTTTCTTAAATGTATTTTTTTTTATTTTTCCCCTCTTAACTCCTGGCAAACAGCCATATTTTGAGATCAGTGAGATGACCACGCATACATCCATGAACCCATGAACCGCGCCCGCGATATTTGATGAACTTTAGACTTCGCTAGTGCATTCCTTTCCCCTGGTGTAAATAGCCGGGCAGAATTAGTTCCCTCTAGCCGAGCTTACGCCCGGAACAGCGCTCCGCGCCATTGGCTCGGGGAGCTCGATAAGTTTTTACTTTTGTCAAAAATGGGCAAAATGGCAAAAACATCAGTGAAGTTTAACTCTTTTAACTTTCGAACTAAATATATATAGAGTAGTTATTTTCTTTTTTCTCTTCAAGCTTCAATTTATGGTAATATTCAACATTGAACGCTTCACAAAATGTTAATTTAACTTTATATTATACATTCTTGTTCTTTTTTTAAGAGTTTTTGCCGTTTAAATTAACTAATTTGACTTAGTCTTTCTATTACTAGCAACGACATCGGTTTTATGATACAGTCTTGATCGCCCGGAACGGCGATTGAGAAAAATCTTTGAAATGGTTGGATAAAAAACATGGTTGGATAATGTGATATGATTATTAATATACACCTGATATGTATTTCCAATTATACTGTTATTTAAATCATGGTATATTTTTAAAATAAAGTTACTTTTGAACGACATTCAAAGTATTTATAAAAAGAGCCAGAATGATGATCTTTTCCTGAGTTTGGAATGTTTGTGTAGTTGTTTCAGTATTTTAAATGAATTAGTAACAACATTTTTGAAGTTGAAAATTGTCTGTTTACCCCAAACAAATTCTCACCTTTTCTCTATCCCGTCTTTAAAACCAAAAATTCTGTTGGATTCCAGTTTGGTCTTTGCCTGAAGGTTGTTTCAATTATGAATAAAAAGTCGCCCAACCCATAACTTGCTAAATAGTTTGTAGTATAGATACTTAGCTAACATTAGTGTTATACTGCATTAGGAGTAGTTGTATTGTGTAATTGCATTACCAATTCTTTGTTAACTCTTGCAATATATAGTCTTCTAGCTGTGTGTGGTAGTTGCCTTATCATTTAGTGCTTTGCTAATTACTTGAGGGCTCCTGCTTGACAGTCTCTTTGAATGACACCTCGTATTTCGATCACTACTGTTGTTCAGAACTGTGCTTTTCCTGATGATGTTGCCTACATGTTGTTCAGAACTGTGTTTTTCCTGATGATGTTGCCTACAATACTTGCCTGATGAATCAGAGAGTTTTGAAGGAGCAAAAACTATTCACATGCAAATTATCGATGGTGTTACATGGTCAAAAGAACAACTTTTAAAGACAAGGGCAAAGTAACCAAATGAATGCTACGGATAGATTTACTAAAAAAGCCGCTCTGGTTTTCCTGGGGTAGTTTCCATATCCTTCCAATGAAAGAGAAGAGAATAATGCAGATATATGACAAATACGTTCAACAAAGTTTATTTAGACTGTTCATCTTGATAACCTAATGCAATAACTTGCTCCACACAACAACGAATGGCTGCTTGCTCAACACAAAAACTTGTTATTTGTCCTAGAAGGCTCTATTGAACAAATGCGAGAGCACCAAGTACATTTGTCGTTTTAAATTTGCCTCGACGGATTAACAGTGTCAACAGCTGGACTGCACAACCACGGACGACTTTCATCCAGGATACGGGAAATCCATCACCAAGCAATAACACAAATAAACATCCCTCTTCAGTCAGCATTAAAAATAACTGCCCCGCCCCTGTATGCATTTCCCACCAATTCACCCATCAACTTAAAACATTATGTTAGTTTGTAGAACATGTCAATTAGAATCAACATTAACATCTCCTGGCTACCTAAATACATTTGTTTTGTTTCTAAATTTGAACTTACCTAGCTGCTCAACTCCATTTACCACCAAGATATCATTCCTTTTGACACATTACCCTAGTTTCCTGTGACAGCATATACATAACCTTAACAACATATCAAGTGCTGCTGCCCTGTTGACGACATTTCCATCAACTATATGAGGCTAAGAAGTCTTCACGCTTAGAAAGAAACATATTGCTGGAAGACATCATTCTAAACAGTCCTTACCATATACTACCAAAAGGTGGTTCACATGTATGGTAATACAAAATTGTGGACATGAATTATAGAATTGCTCTGCAAATATGCTGGAAACTCCAGTTTGTTTACAAATTCCACTTGGTCAATACATGGCTATTTGTGATGATCCGAGAATTCAAATTGGTACTCTAGTATGCCAGAAGTTACCCTTCGGAGGTGATACACTTGCAACTGTTACGTTCTTGTCTAATGTGACCATAATTGTATATTTTTGGGATTTTCGTAATGAATATGGGAAACAAATGAAAATGCTGAATCATCGAAAATGTTGAAAATATTGAATCACCCGATTGATACTTTATTGCCCGAATCTTCCATTTTCATGTATGGTTAAGTGGACAATTACAAACAATGTTTCTTCAGTCAAAGGAAGGTGCATCGAGAACTTTTAGCAAAATTTGGCAAAGTCGATTGCTTACATTGATGTTCGTGTATATGTTACTGCTGTCTAGCCAAGAAGTGTCATTCTAATCTATACAAGACTGCACTCGAAATGAAGGTTAATTAGCTGAAGTGAAACCTGATTTGAGCTGTCAAGTAGAATGCTCGCAATCTACCTTAAAATCAAACTCTAACACATTTTAATATTAATCCTTCAGGCTATCCTGGCTAGTGCTTCCTCTCTTGCCATGGTTCTCGGCCTCAATCTCACACCAGAGAATATTGTCCTTTTCATAAGGAATGTTCTTTATCAGAATAAAATTAACTGTTTGTTAAAGCTGTGCAGAACTCACACAATGTACGGCTGGTGTGACATCTGTCATCTCCACTCTTCATGAGATGCTGCAGTAAAAATTGGGGCCAGGTTCTTCCTTTTTTCCCTTTATATGATTATACCACTTCCGTTTTCGGGTTCCTCTTTTGCCATCCATTCTTTCAGTTACTTACAGGGATAGGGTGAGATTAAATTAAATACAATACGTTTGTAAGAATTGATTGCGTATGTGTCTGTATAAAACCACGTGTAAATTGATTTTTAATGTCCTTCCACAAAAGTAACTTTGTTGTAGAAACAGACTGTTATTTCAGTACTATATTACCACACACTTTCCTTTACTATTTTAATATCTGTTGTGATGGTAATATTTTCAAACTATCATGTTGGCAGAGAAAAAAATGCTTCAAGTTATTTGATGAGAAGGTCTTTAAATCTAAGATGTCTAATCCTATCACATTATATAACCAAATTTCAGTTTTAAACATTGCACGCCTCAAGTCTAGGTTAGACATACAATATTTTGCTCATGCTGGCAATGCAATGGGTGAAATTTTATTGCGTTCCCTACACAAAAGCAGAAATTGTATGATCATGGTCAGTGCGGCAACATAATTATTACCAGATATCTGTGACAATTGTTGGCGAAAGTTAAAATGGTTTAACTTTCGGCAACGATTGCGAGGTTAGTAATTCCACCCGGCTATTTACCCCCGGGGAAAAGGAAAGCCTTAGCGAAGTTTAAAGTTCATCAATGTCTGCCGGCATGGGATACCGTGTGTTGTGGGTGATCATCCTCACTGATATAAAAATAAGCGGACTGTCATGAACAGCAAACACTGATTGGTCCATTTTTATTTTGCAATATAACGATTGCACGAGGACAGCGAAATAGGAAACATTTCCAGTTTTGATGATTTCTTTCGAATATATTTAATTTTTGCAAGATTTTGTAAATTTCAAAAGCTTTTTGGGAAAAGAAGGCGGAATAATTCTTAAAAGAAGGGAACAAAGGTGCCGAAGTTAACAAATGAAGGTTTGTTTTAAATATTGATTTATTGTTTCCTTTATAATTGCTTTAAAAGCTGATCGTTGTGTATGTTTTAAATGAAAAAAAGACAGCATATAATTTCAGTCTTGAATCTTTATTGATTACCCTTTTTCTATTATATGAAATTTTTAAATAAAAAAGAAAGCAAAGTTATTTGCATGAGAATGTGAAATCATTTTATTTCAAACTTAAAGTTTATCGATAAATGTTAAGTTTAGTTTAGGTTTATAAAGAACATTTTAAAATGTTTTGCGAAGCGTTTGTGGTTGAATTTTACCTTAAATTGAAACTTATATTACATATAATATACCTAACATATATATGTTTGGGAAATTAATAATTTTGTAATTAAAAGTGATAGTTTTATGGAATTTTTCATTTCCAAAATATTCTTAATGAAAGTATGGTGTTACCATGATAACTACATTAAATACTTTTTGATTGGAAAATACAATGGTTTTGGCAGCAAGCCGAGGGTTTCTGCATGCATGTATTTTCTAGAAATTTAATATTATGATGAATTAAAATGTTTATTATTTGTCGCACGACAGCTGTAAAAGAGGAGGGGGAGGGAATGTTGAAGAAGGCTTCAAAATGATAAGGCCGTCATTAAAATCCTGAATTTTGAGTGTGATATGCCTTCCTAATAAAATATTTAACAATTATTCTCCGAAGGTGAAGTCATTACCGATGAATATTCACCGAGACGAAGTCGAATTAAAGTTATGAAATGAAACTGTTTTTGGGCAGTTCACATTTATTATTTTAGTGATGCAGTGTTTTTTGTATGCACACGCTTTCAAAATGGCTTCCTGTGTGAATTTATTGCTTTATTATCAAGTTGTTTTTTCTCGATTTCTGCTATATAATCTGTGCGTCGTATGGTTTACAAAATATGAATGTACGACAAATTCGATAACAGTTGAAATGTCCAAAAATTGCAACTCAACAATAACGATTTTTTGGCACATTTTTTTTTTAACTTTTCTGTCATTTTTATCTTTTTTGTTTCGCTTTTTTAACTTTTTTGTCTTATGGCTTCTTTTTAAAACATTTTCTGTATAATTAAGAACAATGTTCGAATAACCCCCTGGGTTAAAAAATATGGGGTGAGAAAAATGTTAGCTTTCCAACCAATTAAGAAAATTTTCTTTTAATGATTTTTCTTTACTTTTCGTATGCTTTTTGGTTTGGACTTTGCAACTGAACAATAATAACGATTTTTTCCCGCAAATTTTTTTTTACTTTTCTGTCATTTTTTATCTTTTTTTTTTGTTTCACTTTTTTTTTGTTTCACTTTTTTTTACCGTATGCTTTTTAAAATATTTTCTGTATTAAATTAACAACAACATTCGAATATAACCCCTCTGGGTTAAAATATGGGGTGAGAAAAAAAGTTAACTTTGCAACCAACTTAGAAAATTTTCTTTTAATGATTTTCTTATTTTTCTTATGCTTTTTCCTTTCGGCTTTTCCGGTGCAGGTGCAGCTGGTGGTGTTTGTTGTTCCTCTTCCTCGTCGTCAGATTCGAGCAATGCTGCAAAATTCCTTTTTACACCATGATGTGTTACTGCGGCACTTGTCGTACATGTCTTCGTCAGTGGGGTTCGCATGCCTTTTACAGTCGGATTTGCTTTGAATTCTGTCATCTCTGGACAGAATGTTTCGAGCCCTTTAGATGCATATGCATCAAGGTTATTTAAAAGTGTCTTGTTCACTGTATAATGGGTGCCAAGGAAATACATTGCACCTCCAAATTTCGTCATGTCTTGGAAGAACTTGTCGACTGCTTCATTTTCCGTGAGCATGGCTTTAAGGAATTGCTTCATGTCTTCTGTGGTAGCAGGTTCCTAATCGGCGTTTTTTGTGTTTAGTTTTTTCACCAGATCCGTAAAATTACCAAGGTTATCTTTCATGGTCTTGAAGCTACTTTGCTTGACATAAGAAGAATGATTTTCACTGAGGAATTCCAAATTTTTTCCATTGTTTCTGCGAATTCGCTTACGCCAGTCTGTGGCTTGCGAAGTCATTCGCAGTTGATCGACGAAAGACGACGCATAACAACTTCTTGTGAAGGTGCCTCATCAGCCATTCCATATGGCTTTAGGAAGCTGGTGGGAAAATGTCTGAAATAATTTACAGCAGTTGAACCTGGTTAGTTTGATTTGATTTGTTTTTTGGCTGAATACATCTAAAAAAGATGCGAAAAAAATTCTAAATATTGCGTGAACAGAAATACACTTATGGCATTGAAGTAAATGTGTTAGTTATAGCCAAATTTATGATACGGTTTTGGAAATATTGTAGAAGCAAATGGTAAGTGAATGAATTTTGTTTATTTTCAACTTCGTTTATCTGACAGGTTTGCATGATGTTGAAGCAACGGGTAAAAACGTGTAAAATTATTAATATTTGAAAGAACGACAAACAAATTTTATGCTAATTGACTCAATTGTGTTACTGGAGTAAAAAAAACAAGGTTCAAGCTTTGCCATGAAATAAATGTCATTGCGCGATCTCACTCTTGTGAAAAAAACATATGCTGTACCAGGTGGAATGTTGTCTATGTCAAACCACACCACTGCTTTATCAAGAGTTTGGCCTTGTGCTTTGCAGATTGTTGTGGCATAACCTGGACAAAATGAATACAAGGTATATCGTCGGAGAATTTTTTAAAAATGTATTTAAGGCAAGCAAAAGAAACGATTACAACAGTGGCAAAACCGTGGCCGAAATAAGCCGAATTGTGTTCAGTTCATTTAGGAATCGAAGTTAGTTCTACGTCGGAACTATCCAACCAAGTTTGTAAGTGTGGGCGAAATATCCGAAACGCAAGCGAACTGATTGCCGTACTCAAACAAGACATGATGTAGTAGCCTAATTTAAAATAAATCCCTAGTGCGCCGTGTTATACATATTTTTTTAATTGAAACCCGCAACTGGTCGATTTAGAAAGTGTACGAGATAGTGTACGAGATAACATTTGTGTTTTCGAGAATAAATCATCGAAAATCTTTCTTTACAATTTTTATCTTCTAGACTGTAAAAACTGATAGGTTAAAAAAAGTTATTTGGTTTGGTCTAGGACAACCCGATAAATATAGGTTATTTCCATAGGTTAAGAGAATTAACTTTAACCTACCAATCTATAATATGTTATTTTAACATATTAATTAATTATTTGTTGATTGAAATAAAGATTTTTGGTTATTTTAACCATTTAAAAATAGGTACGCCAAGCGTACATGTATCTGCGAATAGCGCCACAATGAAATGTCCGACTTACAAATTGTATGTTCAAGCTGAGGGTAAACTGGAACATACACTTCCTCAAGAAGTTCTGGTTTCTTGAAGTCCACTCAAAGATAGAATGATGGAATCAGAATGTTCAGGATCTATCATAACCTTTCTCCTAATTCTACATTTTGGCTGAACACTGTCCCTTAAGGACATAGTTCCTTGCAGTGAGTTGTGGTGTCTGTGTCCAAGGATGGTAGATAACATTTCCATTGTTCAGGATTCGGATGAAATACTTGCCATTCACAAAAATGAAATATTTACCATCAACTGGTCCAACTTGGAAAATATCAGAGATCTCCATAACCCAATCTTTATCTGCTGAACGGATTTTGCAGACAATCCCTCTGCTCGTTTTATCTCTATCACCAACTGCATCCTTGATGGCTAGACGCTTTACATGAATGAATGAATACATGATGGCTGGACGCTTTACATGAATATCAGAGCGTGTAAAGAACCTGTTAACATAAGCAATGATGGTATAATTAGGATATTGAAGTACAACGGGAAATGTTTTTTCTTCGGCGCTTCCTGGTTCAATTCATCTTCGGAACTGTCATACAGTTCAAGTATTGAGCGTTTTGCGCTTGCTTGAGGTTTTGAACCTACTTTTTCGCCTAGGCACGTGTTTATAAGGAAAGATTTCATTGTGTTAAAGTCCTGATGAATTTTAAACTCTTTGTCCGACTCATCAGAACCCTAGACCAGTCTTGGATAATATTATTCTGTAGGATTCTGAAACAATGTTCTAGCAAGTTGCACTTGGATGCTAAGTGTGGTGGCTAAATTGCTGCCAGTTATATATGCAGACTGAAGAATTGAATACAATTCCTCATTCGGTTCCATTACCGACCTGACAGCTTTTTTCACCTCTTTTGCTCTAGGGAAAGTTTCTTTTTACACCATGATGTGTTACTGCGGCACTTGTCGTACATGTCTTCGTAAGTAGGGTTCGGATGCCTTTTACAGTCGGATTTGCTTTGAATTCTGTCATCTCTGGACAGAATGTTTCGAGCCCTTTAGATGCATATGCATCTGGGTTATTTAAAAGTGTCTTGTTCACTGTATAATGGGTGCCAAGGAAATACATTGCACCTCCAAATTTCGTCATGTCTTGGAAGAACTTGTCGACTGCTTCATTTTCCGTGAGCATGGCTTTAAGGAATTGCTTCATGTCTTCTGTGGTTGCAGGTTCCTGATCGGCGTTTTTTGTGTTTAGTTTTTTCACCAGATCCGTAAAATTACCAAGGTTATCTTTGATGGTCTTGGAGCTACTTTGCTTGACATAAGAAGAATGATTTTCACTGAGGAATTCCAAATTTTTTCCATTGTTTCTGCGAATTCGCTTACGCCAGTCTGTGGCCTGCGAAGCCATTCGCAGTTGATAGACGAAAGACGACGCATAACAACTTCTTGTGAAGGTGCCTCATCGACCATTCCATACGGCTTTAGGAAGCTGGTGGGAAAATGTCTGAAATAATTTACAGCAGTTGACCTGGTTAGTTTGATTTGATTTGTTTTTTGGCTGAATACATCTAAAAAAGATGCAAAAAAAAATTCTAAATATTGCGTGAACAGAAATACACTTATGGCATTGAAGTAAATGTGTTAGTTATAGCCAAATTTATGATACGGTTTTGAAAATATGGTAGAAGCAAATGGTAAGTGAATGAATTTTGTTTATTTTCAACTTCGTTTATCTGACAGGTTTTGCATGATGTTGAAGCAACGGGCAAAAACGTGTAAAATTATTAATATTTGAAGGAACGACAAACAAACTTTATGCTAATTGACTCAATTGTGTTACTGGAGTAAAAAAAACAAGGTTCAAGCTTTGCCATGAAATAAATGTCATTGCGCGATCTCACTCTTGTGAAAGAAACATATGCTGTACCAGGTGGAATGTTGTCTATGTCAAACCATACAACTGCTTTATCAAGAGTTTGGCCTTGTGCTTTGCAGATTGTTGTGGCATAACCTGGACAAAATGAATACAAGGTATATCGTCGGTGAATTTTTTAAAAATGTATTTAAGGCAAGCTAAAGAAACGATTACAACAGTGGCAAAACCGTCGCCGAAATAAGCCGAATTGTGTTCAGTTCATTTAGGAATCGAAGTTAGTTCTACCTCGGAACTATCCAACCAAGTTTGTAAGTGTGGGCGAAATATCCGAAACGCAAGCGAACTGATTGCCGTACTCAAACAAGACATGATGTAGTAGCCTAATTTAAAATAAATCCCTAGTGCGCCGTGTTATACATATTTTTTTAATTGAAACCCGCAACTGGTCGATTTAGAAAGTGTACGAGATAGTGTACGAGATAACATTTGTGTTTTCGAGATCTTGTTGCCTGAATTGGAATATGTGGAACGTCTCCAACAGTTTGATGTTCCTCCTCTTTTACACCGTCGAGAGTTGAAGGATTTAACCACCTTTTACAGGATGAAACAAGGTTGATATAACTGTAATGTTGACTCCTACGTTGAATTCTGCTCAGACACAAGATTACGATCAACTGCCCAGGGGAAATTGAAAACCCCTAAATGCAGAACAGAACATTTTAGGGCAACTTATTTTAATAGAATAACGTATTTATGGAATAATCTACCTGAACAAATTCGAACTTTCAATGGTAGTGTGGCCATATTTAAGCGTTCTTGTAGAGAGTATTACAAAACTATACCGTATGATCCTGACCGACCTCGCGTTACTTGGGATCCATGAACTATCACACATTTGTAACATTATAGGGGGGGGGGGTGTTTTGTACAGTTTTTTACTTTTTTCGATCATTTTGATCGCTACTTTATTTTTGGTGGAATAGCTTAGCATGGTTCTATTGTTCCTTTCTATTTCTTCCTTCTGCATGTAGTTTATTCAGTTATTATTTTTGTATGCAGTAAAACTTGATTAAATTAAATTAAATTAAATTAAATCATCGAAAATCTTTCTTTACAATTTTTATCTTCTAGACTGTAAAAACTGATAGGTTAAAAAAAGTTATTTGGTTTGGTCTAGGACAACCCGATAAATATAGGTTATTTCCATAGGTTAAGAGAATTAACTTTAACCTACCAATCTATAATATGTTATTTTAACATATTAATTAATTATTTGTTGATTGAACTAAAGATTTTTGGTTATTTTAACCATTTAAAAATAGGTACGCCAGGCGTACATGTATCTGCGAATAGCGCCACAATGAAATGTCCGACTTACAAATTGTATCTTCAAGCTGAGGTTAAACTGGAACATACACTTCCTGAAGAAGTTCTGGTTTCTTGAAGTCCACTCAAAGATAGAATGATGGAATCAGAATGTTGAGGATCTATCATAACCTTTCTCCTAATTCTACATTTTGGCTGAACACTGTCCCTTAAGGACATAGTTCCTTGCAGTGAGTTGTGGTGTCTGTGTCCAAGGATGGTAGATAACATTTCCATTGTTCAGGATTCGGATGAAATACTTGCCATTCACAAAAATGAAATATTTACCATCAACTGGTCCAACTTGGAAAATATCAGAGATCTCCATAACCCAATCTTTATCTGCTGAACGGATTTTGCAGACAATCCCTCTGCTCGTTTTATCTCTATCACCAACTGCATCCTTGATGGCTAGACGCTTTACATGAATGAATGAATACATGATGGCTGGACGCTTTACATGAATATCAGAGCGTGTAAAGAACCTGTTAACATAAGCAATGATGGTATAATTAGGATATTGAAGTACAACGGGCAAATGTTTTTTCTTCGGCGCTTCCTGGTTCAATTCATCTTCGGAACTGTCATACAGTTCAAGTATTGAGCGTTTTGCGCTTGCTTGAGGTTTAGAACCTACTTTTTCGCCTAGGCACGTGTTTATAAGGAAAGATTTCATTGTGTTAAAGTCCTGATGAATTTTAAACTCTTTGTCCGACTCATCAGAACCCTAGACCAGTCTTGGATAATATTATTCTGTAGGATTCTGAAACAATGTTCTAGCAAGTTGCACTTGGATGCTAAG